ATATGCCAATATGATCTTTTGAAAAACCGTGTATTTTCAACTTTAATAAAAAAAATAACAAAGTATAGCTTTTGTTTAATAACAATTAAATTTACTGGAGTGAAGAAAATTAACAAGCGCTGATTACAGTTAATTATGGTATTATTTTTTATACTAAATAAAAATTATTTAATGTAATTTTGATTGCATTCCTTAGACATGCCTTATATTACACTGTTGTAAACTGAATATTAGTTAGTGCCTTATCCTAACTAGCTTGACAGTTCGGGTCGTAATTCTGAGGTTCTTGATTCCGGTTTTGAAGAAGTCAAAGGTCAACGCTAAAAGATGGATCCTTTCATCCCAATTGTGAGTTTTTTCGCACCGAAAATACTAGCCTTTATCCATAAAGCATCCAGATTTGGAAAAAATAAAAATTTAATATTTATTTGCAGATTTTATAAAGAATCCGAAATAAACATATTTTCTTGAATTGCTTATATTTTAACGTTTATTGAGGCAAAAATGGTGCCATTTGTCCCGTAAAATAAGATAGATTTGATGGCTTTTTTTCGTTATGAAATTATTTGGGAAGGATTAAAGTCGTGATCATACACGTCATTGTAAAAAATTTAACATTTATTCAAGCCATGAGTTACATTTTGGTATTTGGGCATAAACATGTCCAACTTTAATTTTGTTTAATTACGGGCAAATTGGGTACTTTCTTAAGAAAGAGACAAACATGTTTCTGTGATATATCGGCGTTTCGGGTTGTTTGTTATTTATCGTTCGTTACTTGAAAAATTAGCGAAGAGTTAGTGTTGACAGCTATTGAACAAATACACTTTGATCGAATCGAGATATTGATGCATTCCAGCCTTTATATTATGACGTAACAGACTATAGGCAACAAATTTGAAACAACGTTTTCATTTGAAGAATTAACCCTTTTCTTTCGACTCGACTTCGACTAATTTCAACCCAGATTGAAACGAATAAATGAGGAACGAACGGGTTAAATAAAACCGACTTCGCTTTCTTACGGGTAGATGAACCCCGATTTTCCGCCTCGATGGTCCGAATTTCGTTTTCCCTTTTTTTGACAAAGAAAATCTTGTTTCAGGACTAAGTGGAGTTTATATTATACTGGCTTTAGAAACGTCTGGTTTCAAATGATGAAACCGCGCAAATGAAGGTGAAGGGTTTTAAAAGGATATGTCTGTCTGTAATAAGAAATGATTTTACTGGGAATATATTGTAACGGGAATGGATTTAATATCCAAGGATTAGATTTATAACGATTTTATGCTTTGCGTAAAGCTCACGTACACTTTCAAGCTTCAATCTTAAAAACAGAGTTGGCGGATATACATCCTTGAAACTATCTTTACTTAGTACTGCAGTAATAAAAGATTTTTAAAGCATCGATTTATATTGCAGATATATTTCATAGTTTAATCAAAAAGTCATCAAAATAGACTGGAAATAGTACTGCAGTGGTATTTAATTATATGAGTTCTTTTTTATGTTTATTCTATTTTACATATAGGGAGACATGGGTTACAGTTGTAGACAGAATTGTTGTTTGAATTATTGGTCTAAATCCGTGAAATATGTCTTTTGCGATTATACTTTAACTAATTGTAAATCATATAAATATTTTGGTTATGTACACTGTATACTTTTATTTTTAATGCTTTGTGTATTAGATTAGTGTAAACTTAGAAGCAGGAATAACTATATGTTTCCAATCGCCATTTCATTGGTCTCTTCGGTAGAGATCATATTAGGCTGCTGCATTGACAGCAGGTTCCAATTTTTAGACCTTAAATAAATACTGGTTTATAGATTATTTCGGAGAGAATAAAACCAATATATCATTCTTATTTATATTTTAGTACTATTTAGCATTTTAATTGTATTTTAGTGCGATATATATTTTAGTGTTATTGTTCATAAAGCCATTGAAATGCTGCCATCGGAAATTTGTTGGCCCAATGAGTTTTAGAGAACCAGATTTGATCTCCCGTAGTGTGTGTACCAGGTTAGAGTTGGGGGGCATAATTTTATTCCGATTTATCTATTTTAGTTCTATTACGAGTTCGGGGACTGACTGAGTTAGCCACGTAAAATATACCTTCTGCTCATTAGTCATTAGTTTCAATCCCTTTACATAACTTGATGTAAAGTAGGCGAACAAAATTAGTTACCTCCGTATTGGTACACACACTGCTGGAGCGTACCAGATTTTTTAATTTGGGCAGTCTAAAAACCCCAGCTTTAGGTAAAAAAAATGAGCTGATTCTCCTAATCAAACTAAAGCTTCGAACTCGAGACGTCTCTTGTGATGCTAATATACGTGGCCAAATCACCGCACAAACCACAAGACTTACGCTCCACTTTATGAATCATTTGTGAACCCACATTTAACGCGTTTGTTCGACTACTTTGAACGTTTTGCGTCGGATTCCTACGTTCATTAGTACAAGCTTACTATTGTTTATCGCCACGGGTGGCTAAAGCTTTACAGAAGTCAGTAATAAACGTACAGTAGTAAACTATAGTTGAACAGCGTGATTTGTAACTTTGTTATCAAATGAGGTTGAGCACGAGCGAGACTGGTTTGTCAGAATCTTTTGTGATGTAAATGTTTGAACGGAGTTCAGAAACTTTTGTCAGAACATGGCTTATAGGTTAGCGGCCATTTTAAAATTCTTTTTTTTTTTGCAAATAATTTTCCTCGTTGTTTATGGAGAAAAAATTGTGCTTGTTTTTATTATATTGAACATTAGCGCGACGTGCCTAACTTGGGCCGTTATTTGTAAAGACTTTCTTAATTCTGACTACTTGGGATAGTCTTAGTATAATATTGTATATATATTATTCAAAGTCCATAATGTAATTAAGCAGCTATTTTATGAGTTGTCTAAGCGTATAAGTTTCTATATCTGCGATGAAATATAGGCAATTCCGCATAATGAATAGGCTAGGCGATAAATAGGTTTCATGATACACAATTGTTTCAGAGGACCTTTGTCGAACCACCGAAATATCTCCATCAAGCCTCTGGGGTTCGATCGAACCTAGGTTATGAAAAACTGTCTTAAACTAACAATAAATTGTTGACAATATCAAATATATTCGAAATTAAAATTCATTTTGGCACATCTATTCTTAAGCAATGTTTTTATACCATTTCAAGTGAACTTACTAGTTTGTACAGTCTTAGTTACCGAAACATAACACTCGGTCTTCCATCTAAAAATTTATGGACCATAAAATTTTGTCGGGCGCCCTGGAGGTCTCTCAGATATTTTACATTGTTTAGTGTGAATTTTATGGACCCTTAATTGTTATTTTCATTTAACTATACATTTGTGTTGGCATGTTAGGCCGAGTTTGGCCCACACTCAAATCGAGGGGCAAATCGCAAATATGTTTATTCGGCTCTCATTCGTCTTTCGGATTCTGAAGGACTTCTCATTATACTTTTGCTCTGGCAAATCTGTATGCAGTCCAGGCTAAGGATGATCTAAAAAGCTATGAATACTGTAGTGACTCAGATTGAAGTACCTGCTAGGGCAATTTTACCTTTGATTAAACGATAAATTTAAGAATCCTGTTTGTGTTAGTGCTCAGCAAGACCTCAAAATCACTTGGAATCTTTTGTGCTCCGCTTTAATGGAGAAAAATGCCTAGAGTTAGACATGTATGTAATAAAAATATTTTCATAAAAATTTTAGTCAAAGTAAGGTCACATATTTATACTAACTCAGAAGTAAATGCACCTCTGATTAAAGTCACGTGAGAACACTGAAATGTCATAATTTATGTGCCATAGGTCTTTTACTGTAAATTTAACATTATTATCAAACTACCTTAGCTCGTGGGTGTTTTAATCAGGTCTGTTGAGAATTTTCGGCCAATGGTAAATTTCTCAACATAGTGAATCCCACATAAGTGAATTTGATAACGTAGATGAGTTATGGAGCCTTTCCACAGCCGTTCACCCGTTAGAAAATATCCCAGAGTCGCTTAAGATAGTGTACTTTGGGGAAGCTCCCAACAGTTTCGTGAAGAAGTGAATCGCTTCATCAACAGTTAAAGTGCGGACCGTGACTCTATTTAGATTACTTTACAATTTGTCACAGAAATGAGACAGTTCGCTAGTAGAAATCAGAAATCCTATTATTTTCTTTCTAAGATTCTACTTTTGAATTGCAGAATTATAAGATTTCATAAATGTTTTTTTCAATTTGACTCAAATATCTTTTTCTATTTTTTTGTTTATTCTTACAGAAAGCGTTTTGTTGAAATTTTAGCCGTCTTCCTTGTATAAGAGGTTGTCATTCAATCTCGCATCCTGAGATAGTTTTGCAAAACTTTTGCACGGTTCTACACATACCATTCGTATTTGGGAAGAAAGTTACAAGATACAAAAGAAGATAAATATAGAAAGTCGGAGGCGTGAAAAATAAATTTACGGAAACGAGAAATAATCGACATTTGATCAAAGAAGTACTGTAGTGAACTGAATTTCAAAAGTGCAAATTTGTTATTTGTTTAAATCAGCAAAATATTCTCACAATAAAGAAGAATTTATTACTTAACGTGGAAAATATCGAAAACTCGTGGCAGGATTTTATCCTGATGATTTTTATACTGCAGCTTTGATATTGGACACCTGATATTGGATCAAAGCTATTGAATAATATCAACAATCAAAAACTGGACTTACTCCTTCGCTGAAACATCGGATATTACGAGTTTTCGTGGTTTAATTTGGACCTGGCATTGCCGTGAGAAATTGAACAAATAATGATTGAGCAATTGTAACATATTTATGACCGCAAACGGGCAGTTATATACAGAAGAACAACATCCGATTGCTTGATGGGAAAGTCATTGCGTGAAACTTATGTTGACCGCAAATGTGTGTCGCGAAAGGTTCATCCAACTTACTTCATAAACTTACTTCTTCGTGGTAATGTGAAATAAGAAATCAACTGATGAACTGTTCACTAAAAATGAAAGAACTCATAAAACAACATGTTGGTTTTCATCAAGATGAAAATTTTGTTCCAACAAAATGTTTGAAACGAGTTTGTATTTCAAACATGCCTTACGATCGAATTGCAAGATTTTCTATAAAAACACTGTTGTATAACACAATTTTATGGATTATTTTAATCGCTATAATACCCTTGGATCATCGAGGAATGATTTACCAATTCTGCGGAAATAAAATACCCTTAGTGGGTGCGACCATGTCCACTACGATGACATGTACTGGCAGCACTTCGTTTGTGAATGAAATTGCCAAATCGAGTTTTGTGAGTGCGAGAAATTCGCCCTCGCCGGTGAAATTCAAATTTCTTCGCCGATCTTACGTTCCATATTTGCCGCTAAAAGTTATTATAACCACCGACAATGGTCCGAATATAACTTCATTTTTCCTACAAGCCCACGAGCAAGGAAAGACTACACCCATCGGAAATTTCAATTCAACATTCTCTGATAAGGATATCTCTATTATCGGCTGCGGAGTAAACACCGCGAAATTTAAAAACACAGCGACAACGGAGACAGGGAAATACAGGTGAGCATCAAGATCATTGCATTTGTTATACGTATTGCTCGCCATGTGCGCATTCAAGTACAGATATTTATTTTCGTCATGCAAAACCAATATACGATCTGAAATAAATAAAAGGCATGTAACAATTTACAAAACGGATATCTGCTTGTTGCAGTAGATGAGGGGTCGCGAAAGACTCGTCAACGACACCTTGTAGCTGAATTGAAGCAGCAAATATAGGAACTGAACAACTCAATATTGAACATTTACTTAATTAGACTAAATCATACATATGCGCATTCAAAGAATTGAAGCAAATATATAATATTCGCTCGATACATTCATATCCTGGGACTAGTGATATTGAAATATGCTAATGTTATTATTCCGCATAATGCAAAGCAAATAATAAACGACTGGGTATGTCGATAGTAAATTTTTGGACGCTCCAGAAGTATGCGTATCAATATGAAGGTAAATAATTTCTTTCGCCTACTTTACATCAAGTTGTATAATGGGACTGAAACCTATGGGCAGAGGGTATATTCACTTGACTAACACAGACAGTCTCCGAACTCGTAATAGAACTAAAATAAAAAAAATCGGAATAAAATTATGGCTTAACCCTAACCTGGTACATATACTACGGGTGTACTAATTTTCGTTATGAATTTTCGTTTAATCATCTGAATCTAAACGTTCTGAAGTGTTTTCATGATGTCACGGTAGGTGACCGTACATTTGAACCCAGGTACATTTGAACCCATGTGTATATCAGCGGGTTCAATCTATATGAGGGTGATAAAACCCATGGGTTAGGGTTAGTATGGGTTAAAATATCCGCAAAACAAAAAAAATTTCCATAGGTGCAATAGTATGCAGGTGCTATTGTCGTGGGTTCAAATGTACGGGAACCGTCACGGTAGAGCTCCGAAATTAAAAGCAAATTTGCAACTGCAAAATGGCCTAATAATTATGTCGTTTTGGATAACGCGATGGCCCAACTTAATCATGGGCCATTCCATCTTATGATTGATACCTAGTTGGTGAAGTAGTCGTTTATATCAAATATAGTCACAGTTAGTCCAGTACTAGTGCTATAATTTAAACTCTGTCGTGGTAGAAAACGATGAAATGCCGCGATTATGGCATTAATTTTCAACTCAGAGCTATCTTTAAGCAACTCTAACATTCCCCTGCTCTTGTTGATTTTGTGAAGTCCACCAAGAGAGTACCAAAGGCATATACAAAGTTTGATTTCAATTTTCTGGCGCAAAAGACTTAAATTGTTGAAAGCGCCGTATACTTTCATATCACACACACAGGTACAAAAATGATAACACACAGGACAAGCACACAGCTCGTGAATTCAATATCTATACAGCGTGAGCTATGCGAACAAATATACTCATCTACTCATTTAGTTGATATTTATAATTAAGTTTATAATTCCGTTTTGAATCTCCTCATATTTGTATGTTCGATCATGACATCTACGAATAATGAAGTTCCGAATCTGGACCGATTTGAGCTTATAAACAAGAATCCAACAAAATCCAATATACAACGCCGTTCAGGATCTTTGGTACAGAGCTCCAGCAAAAAACATCCCCGCTAACTCTCAAAATAAGGAAACTAGTAGATATAACGTTAGGAACTTGGATAAAATTAGGAATGCAGATTCCGAAGGAAATTCAAATTTTTAAATCATTCCTAACCTTAACTGGATAATTACTATTTTTTTATTTCAAAAAGTGGCGGGATGTTTTTCCCAAATACCTAATTTTTTGCATTGGTGGCGAGGTTTTTGTACAAATATCATCATTCAAAGTCATTAATTGGATAGTTACATGTCGTAAAGAATGACTAACGACATTCAGTTGAATGAGTTTATTACCCAAGATTGGGCATGTGGTATGAGGCTTGAGAGAGAGTTACGTCACCAAAATCTATCACATTATCATGTCCTCAAACAGCACTCATGTAAACCCCTAAGTGTACACTAATCCAATATAAAAATCGTGGAAAAAAGAAGGTATGTAGTATACATATTCAAAATCTTTCATCATATTATCACGCCTCAACATCACACATTCATTTGAAAACATATTGTTATTTATTACAATTGATTAAATATAATCAAAGAAGAATGAAGTCTCAAAAAATATTTGTTGAACATCTTACTCCAGAAGCATTGATGCAAAACCGTGGAAGGATTTTGCTTGCTGAAACCTCTTTAACGTTTAGATTGTAATCCTAGACTACCAGACAGATGCCTTTCCAACGCAACTTGCGTCAATTTACATAAGCCCACTGTAATCCGGTTTATATTGCAGTTGATTCTCAGTCGCCCCATTATTGTGGCGGCATTTTTGTCAGTTCACAATAGGTGTGCCTTAATCTAATTCACTGGGAATTGAATGTTTTCAATTTTGCTATCCTCTGAGTTCGACGTATGTATTTTTTTGGGAACTTTTGTGCAAAGTCCCGGCCAGAAAAACACCCCCGTCACAGCTCATAAAAAGTGGTAATTATCCAGGCAAGGTTAGGGTTCTGAATGCAGATTCCGCTGAAAATGTTTGGGATCTTTTGTACAAATCCTTGGCTAAAAAACACCCCCGACACCGCTCAAAATAAAACGAGAATATCGGTCAGAGACCGAAGACTTATCGATCAAAAGTTAGGTGATCCCCAAAACAGCGCTCTTACTCCATAGTGACACCTTGTGTCCCATCACTAATTAATTAATGACTCGCTAATCATACGACATAATTCATTCAAAATCAATAGGCGTCTGGTCCGACATATGATGAATGCACATGCAAAATCTGGAGCAGATTCAATCTCGCTTTCGTGAGATATCACGTGCAACTAACAGACAGACAGCCAAATACCTATCAACATACTTACCGATTAAAATCGATAAGTAAAAATTAGTAATTATCCAGTTATAGGGTGAGGGCTAGGAATGCATATTTCGCTGGAAATTCGAATCTTAAAATCATTCTTATTCCGGACCCTAACTGGATAATTACTATTTTGTTATTTAGAAACGCGGAGTTTTTTTCCTCTAATCTCACATTTTTGCATTAGTGTTGACGGCTTTGTACAAAATATCCCTTCCTGGTTTTCAACAGATATGTTGAATAATATAATATCTTGAGGGCATCATTGTACCTCGCACACATAAGAATTTAGCAATTAACTTTGAATAACCTGTGTTCTAGAAATATGTGTACAAAGATGGAGGTCCCTAAATTTTGTTCGCCTACAAGTTGTGTAAAGGGACGGAAGCCTATGAACAGGGGGTATATTCACTTGGCTGTCCCCGAAACAGCCCCAGAACTCTTAAGAGAACTAAAATAAGGAAAATTACCAAGCCGCAAACACAACATATTTACGGGTAACGCGTAACTCTTTTGCATCGATCCCACAATGTGAATTTTGAATAATATGACCGAAAAGAATTCTACAATATTACCGATTAATTTCTACATTTTTGATTCGAATTAGATTTTTTCAATATTTCTATTATAATATAGTCGTTTTAATGATTTTTTAAAAAACAAAATATTATATTTATTTGGCAATTTTTACAGAAAAAGGTCAAAGGTCACATTATACTGGAATCCACCAGCCAATTTCAAAACAGCGATTCAATTCAGAGTGAATGTCTTCACTACTGATCGACCAACAAGAGGTTGGAGAGGACTTACTTCGGAGGAAATTGTACCAAGAGTGGCAGGTCGGTAGCAATACTAAAATTATGAAATTTCCAACCGGGATCCAGTCGCACCGCCAGTACAGTCAAGGTGTTCCACAAGTTTACATTCATACGTTTAGTTCTTGACATAAAATGTTAAAATCTGTCACTTCACGTGGCAAATGAAATCTGACCGGCTGTATTACACATTTTGCCACGCAATGACCGTTTCTTTATACAATCCAACCTTCCGCATTGATTTTATATGTATATTATAAGTTTTCATTGTCGTAGTTTAAAATTTGCTTGTCTATGTGTCGCGCTTTGTATTACAAAAGTAAATGCTTCCTGAGTTCGAAGTTTGGCACTCGCGGCGTACAGTTATTCGAAAGCTGCTGGAGCTTTTTAGTGAAATAAAGAATATTATAACCAACAGTATAAAGAACTTTTGTATCTTGTTCATCAACAATTTCAAAAAATATTTTATTTTCTAGAATGCTATACGGGAAATGGAGCGAGTTACAGAGGTACAATGAGTCATACAAAATCCGGAATATATTGTCAGAAGTGGGATTCGCAGACTCCGCACACTCACATTTTGTAAGTATTTTTGATGCAATTTAATTTCGATGGTTTACTCAATTTTTTTTATATAATCGCACCGGACTACAACAAAAAACTAACTTTAATAACTGTCAGAAATGAGATTTCATCTCGGGAAAAAGGAAAACTTATATGACGACCAAAACCGCGTTTCAAAGAAGTTGGATAGTTCGAGTTTACGCCAATTGACTTCAGGCACACTGTTTCGCTCAATTGACAGTTGAAAACATTATTGAGGCGTTATTTGTAACTCTCTGACTTATTAAAATTGGTAAGACTAGTGAGACTACAAACCGACGAGCTTATGAAATATCAATATTCATTGCGCAAAAGCGGCGTTTTAGGATATTTTACTTTCCCGTAAATGTTTACTCATATTCGCTCACCAGAATACGTTAACTTGATTTAATAACCCATTCAGCATATTTCAAGCATGTATGAATAGATGGCCAATCATAAATATATACTCCGTACAAAGTGACATAATTGGTGCAATAATTGATCCATCAGGGCGCGACACAGAAATCCCCAATTTCATACGACAAGCAACTTAGTTGAGAAAGTCCACCCACCATAATTAGATTCAGATATTTCTTTTCACTGTCAAAGACCTAATATTGCATTGAACATTGTATGAGCAATATCAGCATTGAGTTATAGCAGCTGATAAGGGGCCGCGAAGGTTTCCACGAGCCGCCTAGGACACAGAACATACCGCTCATAGCTGGTTGATATTTCATTAAACAACATGTGTTCGCTAACAATTTCTCTAACTTTAGATGACAATATGGGTTGGCCACTAGCTAACCACGTAGACACGATTCAATGTTTCTTGAAATGTTGACTTAGTGAATGACAATTTCAAGGTCAAATGGTGTTAAAGAAAACGAACCGAGTACTAAGATGAAATATATTTTACGTAAAATCTAAATGCTATTCGACATAATGCCATACGCGGGTCGGAATTCCCCTCCCTCCTCCTCCTCCCAAAAAAATATTCTGTATCACACATAGCAATTTTTCGTAGATTCAAACGCATTTTAGACCCTCAAGACTTCAAAACCTACGTATTCCGGACCCGCTTGCTTTTACGGTCTAACTTAGAAATTTTAGAACCCCCACTTGAAAAATTCCTATAGCTACGCCCCTGGTCATGTGTCTGTATAGAAATTTCAAACTAGACGAAACTTGTAACGTTTGTTTCCAAAACCAGTTTCGTCAACAGTTAAGGCCAAGAATAAAATCTAGTAACGAACTTACTACTATGCATATAATGTTAAAATATTTTTAATTTCTTCAGTTCTCGAAACAGAAGACAATTTGCTGACAAAGGATTAGAGAGTGATTTTTGCAGAAAACCTGATACAGACAATATACCTTGGTGTTACACAACCGCTCAACGACCTGTATTTGAAGCCTGCGATATACCTAAATGTGAGTTATGTATAATCGCATATGGCAAAGCGTTGAATTTAGGGTTCTTCCGTAGTGTGTGTACCAGGTAAGGGTTAGGCCATAATTTTATTCCGATTTTCCTTATTTTAGTTCTATTACGAGTTCGGTGACTGTCTGTGTTACCCAATAGGTCTCAGTCCCTTTATACAAATTGATGTAAAGTATGCGAACAAAATTAGTTGCTACCATATTGGAGGCAACACTTTTGGAGCACCGTATATAGAGCTGTATGCGGACAGGGCCGCATCATGCCTGTGAAATTAAACAAGTAATTTTCAGTATTCGTACTGAAAAAGTTGAATTCCGGCTCCGAATTCCGACAAACTCAAATTTTGATAACAAAAACTTTGGTTTCGCAGGCTGTTTTAATAAACTGATAAAAGAATTTAATAAACTTGATGACTATTGAGTTTCTGTAGAAAATATGGACTTATGTGTCATTTGATAAAAATTCTCCGTTAATGCCAAATCCTCATGAAATCTCATATTGGATTGAAATTGGATTTTACTCAGCTTAGCTAACATCAGCTCATTGATAACAGGGATCAACGTCTTAAACAATTTCTGCCAATGGTGATCAATGAGCATTATCTTGTCAAAACTTTTTTATCGCCACACACTTGATGATGACAAAGAAATTCTTATAAAACGTACATTCAACTCAAGGTTCAAACTTATTGACATTTGTCAAATAAACGATTCGATATGCTGCACATTATACTGAAGCATGAGCTTATACATGGTGTCAAAAAATAAATGAAACCCACAAAATTGTTAATAAATACGCTGATTTTAATCCTATTGTTTATATATTTTATAATTGATAAGAATTATAGATGACAATTATTATTTTAAAATCCCATTGCTTGGAAATTAAAAACAAAAATTTTCGTTTAATTTCACTTCACTAAAAAATCCACTAAATTGTGATTTTTCTATCTCATTTTTCATGAAAAATGTGGTTGTGCTCTCATATTTATGAAGTTTGATGGTTAACTAGTGAAAATATTTTACTGGGTACAAACTAATGTTTCACCCGTCGTCTACTTGGTAAGAAAGAAACGTACGAGATACTGTTCATGATCTACACCTGATTTATTGAATCAGAACACTGACTTTGTTTTGAAAACTGGCGCACTGACTCTAGTTTTTATCGCTTACTCCGCCTCATTGTAACTTATTGTGCTCTTATTTTCATGAAATTCCATAGCTCATTATTTCAAATTTGGTTTCAGGCACAAATGGCGGACTGCCGAAACATTTTGCAGAGTTTGGAGAAACTGTCGGCGACAAAAAAGTATCAAGGAAATTCGGTGAAATCGGGAGAATCAAATTTTCTGCTAATTTTTCTATGGTAAAAGCTAACTACACAAATGCAGCGGTGAGTAGGGGCGATCTTATTTATACCCGATTAGATACATATGATGCCATCATAATATTCCGTAATACGGATGAACTAGCTCATCCCCAACACACGTACATTACCACAGAATAAAAATTGTGTTTTTTTTAGATTATTTTTTCGACCGATGCCCAGAAAAGTAGTTTTCGAAACCTTATCGCAATTTTTTCGCCTTTGAAGCTATTTCTATTAGCTTTACCAATGCACTAATTATCATTCACGACATTAATAAAGAAATATGTAGTTCATATTAATGTAAGTTCTCATTTTGAATTTGATGAAGATTCAACTTTTACTCTGTATCCTAAATTGTGCCGTTTTCACAATGCATTTTTGCACAATATATAATTCATATTAATATATGTTCCCATTTTGAACCATAAATTGTGCCGTTTTCACCCGCTATCAGGTTTTTGCACAATAAATTTTCTATATGGGTAACGTCACGTGATTGCCATTTTCATTCACAGGTATTTGAAAACGGAGTAATTGTTCTTGGCAAAGACGAAGATTCTATTAAAAATATAAAGTTGGCCAAGAACAAGGGATTGACTTTTACCAGGTATTTGTATGTTTGGTATATCTTGATGCATTCGATATGTGTACCAGGATTCGCAGGAACGTTATGGATTCTAATTTTCTTATGCGCATTACATGAATAACAGTTGGCCATGACTGGACTAGGCTCAGTTTTGAATTTGTACTTAACAAACGACGTATTTGTAGTTGTTTTAACTTTATGTCGTCATATTTGTCGAACAGATATCACTAAAAGAGCGAATATTAACTATTTGTGACTTTCCACATTTAGGCCGGTCTAAAATATACGCTTATTTCTATCAAAGCAGTTAAAGTTTATTTACTTACTTTCACTGTTATTTGGTGATTTTTCAAACAAGTTACAATATGAGATTTAAGTTTGAACAAAATGAGGTCCACTCTGACCTGCAGTTTTATGATAATAAAAAATAAACCCAAATTAGAGAGATGGAGAATACATTCACTCAATATGTAGCTTGAAATAATTATCATTCCGAGAATCTACCATAACACCAACACACTCATAAATTTATTTCTGTAACGTTTCGTCTGACCTTGGTCAATTCACTTGTGTTAGTGTGCAGCAAGACTCTTGATTCACTTAAGATAGTTATTTTTAATCCTGCTCCAGCATCCTTGCATTATATGCATACAGATCCTCTGACACAAAAGCATAGAAGAAGAATAAGTAGTTAGTACCGCCGAAACCAAACCATTAACACTTATAAGTAGTCGCGAAAGTGCTGAAAGCTGGACGAGTTTGTGCCCAATCTTTATTTATTGGTGTGATAAGGCGAGTCGTCAAAACTACTTTAAATTTTTTAATCACCCTAAAATTTCAATAAAATACCACATTTATTCCGTTTAATTTCCTTATTTTTTCCCTAATTTTAGCAATACTGAATCCAAGTCTGGATCAACAGCAGTCATTGCGCCATTCTGGACTGAAATTCACCGGAATCAATCAATCGGTTCCAACTACGTATTCTTCCGAGAATCTACGGAACCTGACGTCATGATTCCACTGGGAGATGACGTCACTTCAAAGCTACGTTTTCTAAACAGGAAAAAGCCAAGAGATGAAATGTTTGTGCCAAAATGGGCTCTGATAGTTACATGGTAAGCTATTTTTGCGCGAAATATTTTGTTCAGCCATTTTCGTTTTTTGGTTTCTTTCGCTCAGTCTTCCACCGTGTGCGTACATTAAAAGTACGCGGTAATAATCCGGGCCCGACGTTGTCGTGGTTAAAGCGTCCATCGCGGATTAAAAATCTTGTATTACAAATCACATGTTCACCACCACCCAGGATGGGATAAATTGGGTAAGCAATATCTGGCCCGTCCAAAATAAAATAGTTCCAAATCTTTTGCACAAAGCTCCAGCCGAACCCCCCAACGCGCCAAAAAAATAGTAATTATCTAGTATATATTCGGATTGAGAATGCAGATTGCGGTGCAAATTCAAATCAGTCCCAGCCCTGACCCGAACATGATAGTTACTAATTTGTAATTCAAAAACGCGACGGTGGTGTTTCGCTCTAATCTCACATTTTTGCAGAGTCTTGCCGAATATGATGAAAAGGCGCAGTATAAACACCATGTGTACTATAAACCACGCTATTTTCGAGATGTTAAATGTTAATAGAACCGCCAAACACTGAAAAGTTAATTGAATATTCTAAGTACACTCGAAATAAAGGGGTGTTCTCTTCAGTCTGTGTTTTAAATATATTGCGAATAAAAACTTGACCTAAAAATAAATTCCAAGTCAAAATGTATGTTTATCCACTTGGAAAACGTTTAAATTATATTGAAATATTTATTCAGGAAATTGGGAGTTGGACAAGTTTTTAAAACGACAAACCAAGATGTAAAATGTTACCACAATCGCTAACACTAACTTTAATTGAATATTGAATGTACACTCGGAAGAAAGGGGTGTTCCCTTTTGTCTGTTTTACACGGAAGCAATTAAAAACGTAATAAACAAATTATAATTCAAAATGTATGATTTCGCAAAACATCTAGATTATGCTGAAATATGCTGAATTATGCTGAAAAACACTGAAAGATAATTGAATATTCAATGTACACTCGAAAGAAAAAGGTTTTCCTATTAGTCTGTTTTTTAGGAAGCAATTAAAAGCTTAATAAACAAATTACAAGTCAAAATGGACGTTCACCTACTTGGAGAACGTTTAAATTATGCTGAAATATTTGTTCAAGAAATTGGTAAATCAAAACAGGTTTTTAAAACGGCAAACCGCATTTCCGAGAGCCTACTTCACGCAGTATTGCATGTGATTTTTTGAACGCCCACGAGCCAATTAAAAAAACACTTCTAAAATGATCAGATAATTTACTAATATTACGAGATGTGTAGATAAAACATGTATCTGTAGCCAATTCAAACTGGAATTGCTTCTGTGCTCGTTTAACCAAGACACCTAACCAAATGGGTATGAAATTTGGTTTGCTTCTATTTAAATATACTACAACGTTTGTTTATATGCTATACATCGTCCTCGTTACCCCAAAAAAGTTGATGTACTACATCAGCGACAAGATTCATTTACTCATTGTAGTGTTTTCTTCCCAACGCCAAAAATTCTCGTCGCTAGGGAATTCTTATGGTTTACATCGGAGGAAAAATGCATCAAATAAATTTTAAAGTGTTTTCATGAAATTTGACAAATCGCGCGCCAGCCTATACCTATTGGCGCGTCTATCACAATTATATAAAATATGCACTTTCATGCCTGCCCACTGGCCGCTTGCAACTCTATTTCTTGTCCACTTTAGTTGGCCGTTTGGGATCAAGGTTCGACTAATGATATCAAAATAGCAGCTTGCTTTAAAATTATGATTGAAGAGTTAACATTTTAATTATTCCTTCAATCGCAACCCAGAATTCTCTCAAATAAATTGATTATTGACTCTGGGTGTTTAATTTGGAACTTCATATATCACCGACATCGGAACATCGCGGTACACCTATAATATACATTATTACACTATAAGTCTAATTCACCCATGATATGTCCTATAAGAATAGTGACTCATGGGCCATATGTTTGATTAAGATTTTTTTTGGCTCCGAATTTAACCAACTCAACGTAATAAACCCAGATCGTGTGAAAATAAAAACAAAATGCAAAGCAAGAGTCTGTGATATTTAGGTCTTCTGTTTGTAATTAATTACCAAATTCATCACGTACTGTACAAATAATAACACGACGTTTTGGAACAATTTCACCATTTTCGGCGCTCCAGAAGTGTGTGTACCAATATGGAGGTAACTAATTTTGTTTGCCTACTTTACATCAAGTTGTATGAGGTACTGAAAACAATGAGCATGGGGTATATTCAGCTGGCTAACACAGACAGTTCCCGAACTCGTAATAGAACTAAAATAAAGAAAATCGGAAGAAAAGTATGAAATAACCCTAACCTGGTACACTAGACCCTAAACTTGTCGTGTGTAAATCTTTCCATAGCACCCCCGTGTTGTTAATAAGCTGCCCAGTTGTCATACTTTGAAGTTCGAAATATTATTTAACATAGATTATCATTTGAACATTGCTAAGTAACACGCGAGGGTTTTTGTTTAATCTGTAAATTCCTAAAACACTTGAAAGCACTAATTCGTATGTGAGTACTCGTCAGTTGAGTTATTAGAGATTTTAGCCGACTAAAAACATCGTAAAAATAACTTCCATTCCAATGTAAATAGGGAAGTACTGTGAATAACTTAAGCTATTATGCATCGTACCTTGAAAGGGTGATTTTCGTCGGAGGAGCTAATTTGTTCAGTATTTCAAAATGCGATTGAATATCAGTAGACATTGCGATTTTTTTCAACATTGTTTGGCAAAGACAATACGCAATCGTGTTATCACTGTGTGGGCACAGGTAAGCAAAATGTTGTGGATTACTTCACCAACGTTCTTGAGTTGTGGTGGTCGCTATAACACGCGATTCCACTGACGTAAAATGGTCGAAAATTTCCACATTCAATATCGATGAATTCCTTGTGAATTAGCACAAATTATTTGTTTTACTTGCGACTGTTTATATTAATGTGAGGCTTCATCACGAGTGTTAGTGCACAATGACCATTTTTTGGCGCTACAGAAGTGTGTGTACCAATATGGAAGTGACTAATTTGGTTCGACTACTTTACATCAAGTTGTGTAAATAGACTTAAACCAATGGGCAGGGGGTTATAGAACTAAAATAAGGAAAATCGGAATAAAATTATGGCTTAACCCTAACCTGATAGTCACACTACGGGAGTACCCTTTTTTGCATCTCTATCCAACATGACATGCCATTCTAGTTCATATTGCATTATGTAATTGCACTTGCACTGTATATTTTCAGTTTGATGAAAAAATAAACTACTGATCAATGGTTGAACCTATTTTCACTATTACTCGCTCCAGTACAATTTTCTCATTAAAATTTCTACGATTACGTAAATATTTTTTATCTCGTTCAAGACATACATGGTGGTTTTTAATTGATGTTGAACATTGGTGAATAATCAGTTGTGGCTTCATCATATACTCACACTGTTCAATTGATGAAAAAATCAACTTAAGTATATGGTTCAACTTCAATAAAATGACGACTTTCCTTATTGGTTCTTGTGTTTAGCAATTCAAAAAATGTTTCAAAAAGAACGCGTCCGCAATAAACGGTAACTTCAAACCAGCGCCACCGCGGTTAATGTCCTTTTCTGATTTAGATTTAAAAAATAAATAAACAGTTCTTCCAATCGCCGGGAGTGAATACGACCCAACTTATTGAAATACACATCTTTCGTATACTTAGATACCATACTACTTGAATTTCCATATATTGAGAGAGATATATTTAGCAATTCAAAATTAAATTTTTTGATAAAGTTACTCTCAAATCCCGAAACTTTTTACTCTGCGATGCGTAACAGGTGCAATCAATGTCACTTGTGTCATTTTTACTGATCAAAATTTGAATAGCTATTCAAATTTGAGGACGGCAAACACGATTCAGTGCAATGATATATACATATTTCATATATTTGAACAACCTATATCAGGGGTGTTTAACCTGCGGCCCGCGGGCTAAAGGTGGCCCTCAACAAAAAATTTCGTGGCCCGCGGAGAAGTGCCAATTTTGAATAATGTGCGGCCCGCGAAACGAGTTTCTTAATTTAATTTGGTAAGTGCGAGTAATTTCAATCCCGTTGCGCTGCGAAGTCTATACCCGAGTCCATTTTATTATCTATGATTATGACTTCACAATGCCTCAATAGCAAGCTTGTGCAAACAACGAATGTCACAAGATCAATAAACAAAATTTTTGTGACTACAACTACAAGATACCCTTTGTTAAATAAAAGTGCGACCCGCGGTTTCACCCAGTTATTTCTATCTGGCCCTTCTGTATTAAACGTTGCACACCCCTGCCCTATATCATATTATATATTCATGAACATCAAGACCATAATTTAATGTTGCATCTACTTTATTTACAAGGTATCTGGTTGGGGGCAATTCATCAGTAACTGATGTGAAGAATCTCAATTCATTTCAAGCAATTCTGACAACTGATGGAAATAGATCGTTCGTATTACTCAACTATGACATGAGAAAATGGTCAGAGAAAAAGAACACAGCATTGGTAAGGTCATTATTTGACACAGTTTTGGCACATAGTTTTCTGTCCCATCCCAAAGCAATTGATGCCTTCGCCATTCTATGTGACGTCTACTATTATAAGAATCCCATTTTCATGGACAAACCTGGGGATTTGCATGTGAATCTCATTCCCTTGAACAACCTTGCCGGTGTCCCGCTATAAAATAAATAATATATACAAGTATAGGAAGATAAGGATAGTAAAAACATTGAAAGGCAAAAAAGTATAAAGACTAAGGTTGGCTCTTGTGTAATCAAGTTGACATGACTACTGCCCCTTGGGAAATACAAATGTGTGCTGTCCCATCCCATGGGACGTATCCCATGAACAAGCTTGCAATTTGTAGTTCAGATTTATCATCTATTTAATATAATTAAATTATTTGCAGATCGGGTACAAATCTGGGAACGCCATGAGTTTCTTGAATCACTCACTCCCATATACGAATAAATTGCAATTTGAAACAGCCTCGCGACTTGGTAGAGCTGTTACAACACAGTCAAATGTGGGAAAAGCTGGCCAGATGATGTACGAGATTTCAATCTGCAATAAGCTATTACCTGGTAAGAAAATGGGACCTCCAGAAGTATGTGCACCAAGATGGCGCACAACCTGAACATAGTACCAGGTTAGGGTTCAGGTTGTGCGCCATCTTGGTGCACATACTTCGGGAGCGCCAGGAAATGTTGTTCATCAAGCTGATTCTATAAATCGTTTGCTGTAGATCGTGTAGGAAGTATAATGTACTGGTACAATTTATAGTGAATATTTCAAAACAATAAATTTTTAGTTTTGAAAATCAACTATTTACAGCCTTGAATCGTTGCATTATAAACAAATTGAAAATAAACAAGCATCTATTGCTTTTTTATGTTCAATATATGTTTTAATCTTTATCCCACAAACTTTCGTTATACAGTGTAATTCCCTTTCATCATGCTGTATTTTGGGAAGTTGACTTGTAATGGTTCCAATTTTTGTTGTCGACGATTATTTCGATTAAACAAATAATTTAGGGTACTCCCGTAGTATGTGTACCAGGTTAGGATTAGGCCATAATTTTATTTCGATTTTCCTTATTTTAGTTCTATTACGAGTTCGGGAACTGTCTGTGTTAGCCAAGTGAATACCCCCCTTCACATAGATTTCATTCCCTTTACACAACTTGCTGTAAAGTAGACGAACAAAATTAGTTACCTCCATATTGGTACACATACTTCTGGAGCGCCGAATTTTGTACGTGGGCCTTAAGAGCTACTGGTCGCTTTTGATTCGCTAGTCAATGGGTTATTTAAGCTACCCTATAACGGATGATTACGACCTTCCTTTGAGCAAACTTCCAAATATATAATAATGCTTTGACAGTTCTCTGACAAACTCAAAATTCAGGTTTTGACGAGTTTGATGATCAAGAGCCATTTTCTTTTAATACGGCGTTACTCGCGTCTTTCGCTTCGAACCACGCCAGGTCCGAGCAGTCACTGATTTTTTAACGATAACTTTTTTTTTTGGTAACTATGATAACGATAACTATGATTTGTTTCAGATGGTTCAAAACCTAAGAAATGTTCGGACTCATTGACTCTCAGATTGAAAGCGGCACCATCTCCGCCCACCAATTGCCAGGGAAAAAACTGCACTGGGAATCGGACATGCGACTCTAAAACCGGAGGTGAGTTTACAGCCCAAACTATACTTCTATTTAGACGTTGTCATAGACAAGTCAACGCCTTATAAATGCGCGTGCAAACCACCCAATGGCCAAGGAATCTACCAGATAGGTTTCACAGATAATAAATTTCGGTTGCGTGTTTTAAACCAGGTCAACAGTCAAAAGCACTAAGGTATTTTTCGTAACCAAATAAATGACTTAGAACAGAATTATAAACGTCTAATAATTTTTGAAAAGTGCCAACAATTCACTACCAATTCAACTACCTTACCAGTTACAACAAAACTCCAGGAGATAATACACATTTGAGCACAGAATGGTGTTACAATATTCCTGTTTGCAAGCCTAAGTAAAAACTTTGAGTTGGATTGTGAGAGACTAACTCCCTATCCTTCCTCTGCGCCTGTATGTTAATGGATCGGCTTGCGTATACTGCAAGTATGCTGTACCAGGAATAAACAAAACTATTTTATCCAATTCGAGATTCCTGCTGCACTAACATAAATGTACGTCTGTATCTAAGTAAAAACACTAGGTATTTGAGTGCAATTCCAAAAAGCCGGTCCGAGTCAAAGCATGCACGCTTGTCTTGTAAGCACACGAGTCTTGTGCTTAAAGTGAAGTTATATGACATCTAATTCTTGATGCTGGTTTTCAGATTGCGTATGTCCAGCTGGCTACACTGGCAGTCAGTGTGAAATAAACATCGATGATTGTCAACAGAATCCTTGTCAAAACGGAGGAACCTGTACCGATGCAACTAACGGGTATGTTATATTGCATATTCACATGATTAGAAGTTTAGATTACAACTTTCTTTAGACATTCTTCTGAATGTGGAATGTTAGTCTAGTAAAAGTACGGGGGTTGGGGAGGTGTTTTGAAATACATACTTCCAGTGATCTCTTTGCGTGAAGGTCATTAAAGCGATGATCTGTTCTGAAGTATGCGGGATAACATTGCCAACGTAAATCAAACTTTTCGATTTTTTTGTTAAACGTATAAAAATATTTACGGTGAAAACGAAGGTTGTTCAAATCACGACAATCTGATATTTCAACCGTTGACGTGATTATAAAGTTATCACAATACCATAGCTGCGTTGTCCATATGTAACTATTTCGTTTGTTTTGTGGCGTGTTGTAATTTAATCGAGACTAGTATTAACAGTTAATAACAGACTGGCACTCATATAGTATGTTTCATGCAAATTTACTGTGAAAACTGTTTGAAAATTCAATAATGTGAAACTGAGTTTTTCAATCGAGAAATAAGAGATGCCATGATTTGAATTTTACTTTTCCTTCTTTCTAGACACTTTTGCACTCGTGGACTTGAGTTTGTTAGAAACCAAAAAAGCTGTGATTTGAAATTATTTTTTATTCCTAGATACTACTGCACGTGTAGACCAGGTTACACTGGGTCCAGATGCGAAGCCAATGTAAACGAATGTTTCAAATCTCCTTGCTTGAATAATGGAACTTGTGTGGACGGAGAAAACAGTTACAGGTGTGCACATTAAACGCATATTTTTAGGGTCTTTACGCTCACAATTTTGCTGCCAACAAACCCGATATTAGTAATGGAATATTTTCCATTTTGTTGTGGACCGTGGGACATTTTGAATCACAAGACACTGAAAATTATATTCTAATGAATAGTTTTCCTAACAATCTAACAACTGAATAGAGAAAAAACAGTCAATTTCTGTGAATTGGGATGAGGTACTTGTATCAATGCATATTTCCATATACCAGTCTCTTTGTGAATTGAGCTAAAAATCACAAAGAACTTGCGAAAACGACTGAGAAAAGATTTATTACACTCTCTGATATGCCAGCAATAAAATATATTTCAAACCCTTTTCATTTAGGTGCATCTGCACACCGGAGTATAAAGGAGTGAATTGTGAAACACTCAAAGACCAGTGTAAATCGAATCCATGTATGAACGGAGGTAGGATTGTGAATTGTTGCATTATTTACTTGAAGTGGCTTGGTATCATCTGATCGTGATATACCTAGCGTTATAAAACAGTTCACTTTTTTAGGGCGAGTCGACTCTTGCATCAAACTTTAAACCCGTGCCCCGAATTGCTCTAGAATTTAGTTGAGAATTAACTAAATTTAAATTAGAAAAAAATGTATTTTAGAAGCTCTGGCCGTTCAAGGGAAAAAACACATTTGCTTGGTGTCATTGGAATTATACATGACTAACAGCAACTATTTAGAAAAATGATCCATTCGGGGTTTAAACAGTTCGTGTCCCAATTTATTAAATGGGAGAAAGTTGTCTTGCCTGACAAAATTATGGCTTTTCATAGTAACTTTAAACTCATTTTGTTTCACAATGTTATTGGTTGACGTAAGAATCTTATATATTCATTCCATTAACTAAATCTTAATTAACGCAAAAATAAAAAGTTATTCCGGAAATTTTAGGAATAATTTTGACAAAATTATAGCTCTTCGTAGTATGTCAATTCCTAAATGTATATCCATTTTCCTTTTGTTAGTGGGTGAAGTAAACCAATGAATAATAAATAAATTCAATCGATTTCTGTTGAAGTATGTAATCTGAGGAAGTTTGACTTTGGTCAGAAGAAACGTTACAGAAATATACTTGTGCTAGTGTGCAGCAAGACTATTGAATTGTTCAGGACATTAATTAAACTCGATAATTTAACTGATAAAATTCATCCATCTTTTTTTACAGCCAAATGCACGACAACTGAAGACAATTTTGTTTGCAATTGCGCTGAAGAATTTTCAGGAGAACAGTGTCAATATCGGTATTGTTTTGACGGTAGCTGCATTAGGAGTCACACATGCCAGGATCGAACGACTGGAAAGGAAAATTGCACCTGCCGGGCAGAGGCACCATCTAATGGGTATTGTCAAGAGGTATGTTACTGGGTCACACTTACTATTTCTTTATGAGTTATTTTCAGAATAAAAGTATTTTTAAGCTCTTTACGCTTGTAATATTAATCATAGTGTATGCAATGCACTAGCGTTCTGTTAGTTATTTCCATAAAGACTTGAACGGAGGCGTAGTATGCCTTTTCGGCCGTTTAAACTACGCAGGGTAAATATAAAGAATTCTAATTTTTCATTTGAATATAATTTTCGATCTCAGTAATAGAATTTCTATATTCTAATGTGCAACGTTTATTATTGATTTGTATCAGAGCTTCCCACGTTGACCTCAAACTTTCAAATAACGGATAAATTGCTATGGATCTATGAATAACTGAAATTTTGTTTCAGACTGTATTGTCGACGTACAAGTTGCCAAAGAATCCTATATATTCATTTCATTAACTAAATATTGAGGGAAAGTTTATTTATAACTTTGCACACAATCCTGTTTCTGATTTCTTTATTTTGAATATTTACATTCTATGCACGTATTTATCAACGTGCTTTATGAATAAAACATACTATCACTTTACTAGCTGTTATTTGTAGCTTTTTATTAGCTAGTTATTTTTGAGGTGGGGCGACAAATTCTAAAAAGCGGGCTCGGCTTTGAGAACCACATAACGTTGTACATAACGTGCCAGTGAAAAACGGTACAAATTGATGAGAAATCTATTGTGTTTTTCTATATACTCGATCTATACTGAATTAGATCATAAGTTTATCATGCTAAATAATTCGGATCTTTTAAACAAATCCCGCCACTAAGAAAAAAACTGTGAGATTTGAGAAAACATCCCCGCCACGTTTTTCAATAACAAATTAGGGCGCTCCTATAGTATGTGAACCAAGATGGCGCACACCTGAACCTTAACCTGGTACGTATAATATGTTCAGGTTGTGCGCCAAATACTACCGGAGCATCATGTAATTATCCAGTTAAGGTTAGAAATAATTTAAAATTTCGAATTTCCAGCGCAATTTACGTACCTAGCCCTAACTGGACAATTGCCAATTTTGAGAGTTGGTGGGGACTTTGTAGAAAAGATCCAATAATTTGAGTGTCAAAGTTTTTCGTGTCTATTTTAAAGGGTAATTTCAATATTATACTTCCTATACAGGTCCCAAGTCTACCAGGTGAGTTTCACTCAACGTGGAATAATCTTTTTTCGACAATTTTGAAACCCATTCAATCATTTCTAAGCGCAGTCACAAATACAGGAAAGGTGTCATTAGACAGTGTTAAAAAGTTACGTACAACGGGAGAGAGATCAAAGAAAACAGCATTTCATTCGTTGCCATACATAAACAATAAAAAATTGAAAGTTGATGTCGTCAGTAACAATCACGATGACTTCATATTACGCTCTCAAAATGACGTCACTAAATTAGACAACACAAATAAATTTTTGCGGAGAAAGAGATCAACCATCACCTGCCAAGCTTTAACAACAGAAACTGAGTGCAAAAATGGACTTTCACAATACGAGTCATACGGGAGCATTGGACTACCTTACTCAGCATTAAGTGCAAAATACAATACACAAGTCAGCGCTAAGGGCACAATCGATTTCTACAACGCATATAGGAACTGCCATCCATATTTTCTTTATTTTGCCTGTGCTTCAACGCTCCCAAAATGCACAGAAAACCCTACCACCATCATTTTGCCGTGTCGCGACTTTTGTGAAATGGTCAAGTCGGATTGCAAAGACGAACTAGATAGGCATAAGCCAGATACGTCATGGGATGCGAATTTTCCATGTAATTCGTACCCTGAAAATACCACCGAGTGTGTCGGTCCTCCTACTCTAAAGACAACGACTACTCAACCAACGACAAGTGCAAATGTTGAGACAACTAGTCAGAGTAGAACAGAATCACTGACTCTAGAAACATCAACAACTGATAAAACGGAGCCATTCACAGTTAGCAATTTGGAAACAAGCACAGGAACGATAGACGTTCTTTCAACTTCGACAGAACTTGTTGACATCACAGAAGTTACAACAACAGCGACATCAGGTGAACAAATGACAACAAAGATAGAAACGAGCACAGCAGCATCAGGTGATCAAAATACAACAAAAATGGATTCTAGCACAGCGACATCAGATGATCAAACTTCAGAGATAGTGGATACGAGCACAGCAGATTTAACAACAGACACGGCCGAAAAATCTACAACCACTGACGGTAGTACGGCATCGCCGTTTCTTGCGACAACAGAAGGTAGTATCACCAGCAATGCCATTCAGATGCTGTCAACTGAAGCATCTACAACAAGTAAATCGATAACTTCTGCCCAGACGGATACGACGATTACGAATCAGTATACCGAAGCCATGGAGACAGATGAAATCACGACTGAACCAATAGTTGAAATATCTTTAACTACAAGCACTACTGCTACACCAACAATGATTGAAACAACTAATCTTGAAAATGCAGGTGTTTCCACAGCAACTTCCCGTCCAGAAATGACAGAATCTGACATTGCAACTCCGACTTCGTTATCGGCAACACCAGGAATATTAGTAACAACGACTAAAAAATTCATTTCAACAGGAATCGTAGACACAACAACCGGAAGTACAGTTCCATTAGTCGCTACTTCCACTACAGCCGTCACTTCTCAAACCCCAACTGCCGGAACGACAAGCGAAAATTTGTCGCAAACTCCTATTGAATCAACTTCAGTTTCCACAACACAGTTGCCAATTACAAACGAGAAAACAACTATTGTGACATCGTCTCCCACCACTGTAGAATCAACGGAAGATACAAATTTGACGACGGAGTTAGCATCTACAGTTGCGACGACAACCGATCTGACCACGGTTGTCAGTGAAATCACGACACTGACCAAAACATCATCTCCTGAGCCAACAACGGTGAAAGATCTGACTACTGTTTCCTCAACTACAAATCCTTCAACTACTATGATTGAAACTACTTCTTCTACAATCCCGTCACCTACGACGGTAACATCATCGGTGACGACACATACTACTTCATTATCTACAGTACAGCTGACTACCACAGATGGAATGATCTCAAGTACAGCACCAATAGTAGGGACGACATATACGGCGTCATCACCAACAGCGGAGTCAAGCAATGTAGGAGAAATAAACAAAAAAAGCACAGGTATAAAAACTACATCACCGCTAGAAACGACTGAAATACAAACAACAACGAGAAGTACAGTAGAACAAAGTTCCTCGTCGCCAGCCACAAACATATCAGTAACTGAAGAAGTCACAAGGGAAGCCCCAACAACAGCGCCTTTTCCAACACACACCTCAGCGATATCTCAAGAGATTTTAACTGTTCGAACCTCAGCAGATGTTATAGAAGGGCAAACAACAGAGAAACCCGAGGAGTCAACAATATCAACCGACTCTAAATCAGTAACCGCAGAAATCACAACTGCAGTAACACCAACATCAACGCCTTTTTCTACAAACACTTCAGCTATATCTCAAGATGTTCTGACTGTTACCAGTCAGACCTCATCGGGCGTTACAGAAGGACAGATAATGGATGTAACTGAAACTTCGACAATATCAGTTAAATCTGAATCCACGTTTAATTCTGTCACTCAAACTACACCCAATACTTTGGATATAGCCAGTACTCAACAACAAAGTTCCAACTCTGAAATTATGGAAACTACTACCACAAACCAATCTGAAGTAGAAAAGCAAACATTGAAACCGAACGACACCATTTCTTTGCCAGCGATTACGGAAAACACAACGCTTTACTCTTCTTCTATTGCTACCTCATCAACAAGCACAACGGAAGAAGATATCGAAACATCGATGGCCACCACCAGTTCAATAATGAATGACATTGCTACATTTTCTCGAGATGACACACAAGCAATCACAACTGCAAATGTGGAATTTCTCCGTACAACAAGCAGTGGATCACAAACTACACAAACGACCCCACTAGTTAACGAGACTAATGAAGCAAATGACTTTTCCTCTACTTCCCTTACGGGGCAGACACAAACTACAAAACCCTTAGATACGACGTCAACCAATGAAATAACGAGTGTTTTCTCTGGAACTGAGCAAATGTCTTTTGCCACAGCTGATATTACGGGTTCTGAAACAAGTGCTGTTTTTAACACCACAGTACAAGGTAACGTGAATAATTCGAGTGCATCATCCATCACGAAAGAACTTCAAACTGATTTCACTGTCAATTCAAGCACAACCAGAAATACCAAATCTACCACTGAAGAAAGTTCTACTTTGAGTATGGTGTTATCTACCACGAATGGGGAAAAGGAAACCATGAGCCTACAGCCAGATGCTACTACGCGCATCCTGCTAGAAACTACCACTTTTGGACCAATCTCGGCGACAAGCAATTTTACCACAAGCCTCATCTCTAACAGCAGTGAAATTAACACCGAAACTAGCCGTCTATCAACATCCACTAACTCATCGTCGACTACTGAACTCATGACCAGGCTTGGTTATGTAATTACTGCAGTCTCTGAAAGTCGAGAAACTGTTTCCACTGCTGGAGCGAATACAATCGAAACTTTGGTTGAAGTGACAAGTTCATCTGGTAGTTCACAAAGTATGTTCCCCACTACTACTCTATTTGAAGCAATAACCCAAAACAGCACTCTCAGTACATTCTCACCATCAGAAATAGAATTAACGTATACACAGAATAATATCACGAAATTTGCCGAGCTTACAACAACAAATGTGAAGGAGACCACTGATTCAAGCATGACATCTGAAACTACATTACCACAAGAAAATGCGACGCAGGCCAACTTGGAATTCACAAGACTGGATAACAATTCTAGTCCACAATTCAATACAGAAGGTGATTTCGCGAGCACAATAACTTCAGTCAGTAATGAAATCGCCCAAAACAGTGTAACAAATACCATTTTGTCAGGAACAACGGCAAATTCTCCAAGCGATTTAACATCTAGCCAGTACAATATTATGGAAGTGACTGATACCACAACATCAAGTTCAGAAAACACAACTAACTCGGTTTCAGCGTCAGAAACTGGTAGAGCAATCATTGATAGTGTCACAAAACTGCCAGAAATATCAACATCAACCTTCGTTGTTACAAGCCAAGAACAAACCTCAAGCAAAGATTCAACTGAACAATCGAATACAGTAGAAGCCTTAGTGGAAGAAACGAGTCGAACTACTCCGACTCCAGCCAACTCTGAAACTATTTTTGCTTCAACAGAACAGTCGTCAAGTGAAACTTCAAGCTTTTCAATACAAACGACGTCCATTTCCGATACCACAGAAGTAGTCGAGCTCTCAACAACGGAAAATATTCAAATTACAGTCACACAGGCTATTGGAACAGAGGCCTTCATCGACACTAACAGTACTGTGATTAGTGATATTACCTTTCGCACAACCAACACGGTTTCGATAACACCAGAAACGATGGAAAGTGATAATACTACAATAATCGATGTCGTTTTGCAATCAACAACAACTGTACCTACTGTATCGGATAGATCAACTATAGAAAGTACATCAATGGCAGCGACAAACTCACTTCAAGTAGATAATTCAACGTCAGATGTGCCATTTATCTCGGTGGCCGGAAGTACGAGTAACGTGTTTGCTACGTCGGGTACAGACATTGCACCAACATCGACAGTCATACCCTCAACGTTGCCTCCTTCCTCCGAGTTACCGCTAGAACAAAATAGTACAAGTGCTAATACTACCGTCGTTGCGAACGACATGTCATCATTGGGAGGTAGCAGGCCCATTGAAATTACGTCTGAATCAAACAGCGTTGGGACATGGACCTATTTCACAAATTCATCACCCATTGCTCAAACTACTGAAAGTCAACTGAGTGTATCTCAACCGATTTCCAGTTCTGTTCCAGTGAGAAACAACACAGGTATGTTATATTCCTTTTGTCGTCAGTCCGAAGTTGTTTGTTATAGTATTCATACTATCTCGAGGCAAAGTTGTCAGATTATTTTTCCTAGCGCGACTCCAAATAATAGTTTTCAAGCCTCGTTAAACATTTTGAAATCATGTATTTACAACATGTTTAGTAAATTGCGCTATAGTACTTATAGATTTCTAGTAGGAACTGTCAATTAAGCTGATAAGTGTCAACAAGACGGTAGTAATTTGTTTAACAAAATTTTACCAGTAATATTGTATGTCAGTAATAGTCAAAAACAAGACTTCGTGACGTTTCACCTTAAAAAAAATTACCCTAACAAATAGTAACCATGGATTAAATAATTGACCAGTTGTTCAGAAATTTATATATATATATATTGTATTATTGTTTTCTTATTTATTTATTTAGAGCTCCCGAAGTATGTGCACCAAATGGCGCACAACCTGAACATGGTATGTGTGCCCGTTTGTGCGCCATCTTGGGCACATACTTCGAGAGCACGATTTATTTGTCAACTTGTCTTCCAAATCTATAGAGTAAACAGTCTATGAAATATTACATTTCATGTTTATTGCTTGTTTGCATGTGTATCATGGTCTGGACATCCAAAGTTTCATAAATAACTTGGAGAATACTTGACTTATGAACTAGTGACTGAGACGGATGTCTTTTAACTTTGCTTGTATAAATGAACTTGCATGAAACTTACTGACTTGTATTGCATCCGTCTTCCTTTCGCAGAGAATCCCTGCAAATTCTCTTTTCTACTGGATGCATCGACGTCTCCTTTCAAGATTCCATTGTTCTATGAATGGCACAAATGAAATGTTCCAAAGGTTAAAGTTTAGAGGTCAAAGTTGAGACTGTAAATAGTATGAAATCAGATTAAGAGCTAGCAATTGTTGAGGTTAGTTAGTTTAGTAGATATTAAAAGGTAAGTATCCCAGTCCAGTCAAACATACTACACGATTATCCATTTTTTATTTTCTTGTTACGTAGCATGATAGAGTAATATAAATAATTTAGTTGTTTATCTATGTACATGCTCATTGATATAGTGAACGCTATTTAACGAAACGTTAGTTCAATAAGATACATATAAAAATAATGATCGAATGTAAATTACTCTAAATATAGCAAAATTATATTGACCATAATTACTTTGTCACATTTTAGTTGAATAGGGTCCGTGAAGATCACTGTCCCATGTTTGTATCTTGCAGAGCATGATCATAGGAACCCATGAATATGCTCTGAAATTATTTTAGTATGTTTAGATTTTTTGCTTTGATGGCCCATAATAAGATTCTTTTGGGTTATTCCTATATACTTGAACTTGAAATATTTTTTGAACTTGGCACAGTGTCCAAATATTCACCATAAATATGATGGTTAAAATACAGGCAAACAATTACAGCAAGCACTTTATCGTTTCTAGAAGACGTTACACCAAGACAAAACACTGTCAAATATCAACAAACAAATGGCGGACAAAAAGACACACAAACACATCATAATTCATTTCATAGTTTAAATGTCAACACCACAACATATGTCAAATCATTATTAGCATCAACATTATATCACTTCACAGAGCACACATCACTCGTACCATTAGCTACCACTCATCATCCAATATCAGTAGAAAGTCAAACGACATCCAACGTCTTCGAAACATCTGCTGACAGTCAAGATGGAGAATTTTCCACAATAATTGCCAAAGTATCTGAAAACACTACCGTTCCTATGAGTATGTTAACGGAGGGATTGAAAATGTCCCAGGTCCACGAAGATACTTCTCCAACAGATGCCAATGAAGCATCATCCAACACAGAGGCCGTCCGACGGCTGGATGCAAATTTGACATCTACATTTAGTTTACCACTCGATGATACAACAAGAGTTTCCGATTTGGCTTCAAGCGACACAAGTTTACCAAAGACTGGAGGCTCCTTCGTTGCCACTTCAAAAAGCAAAGAAATTAATTCAACTCGAACTGTTACAGTAAGCCCAACATTTCAGTTTAGTGGTAACGACGCTCCCACTCAACAGAATAATACTGAAGTAACGTATTCATCAAAAGATTCAAGCATAGACTGGCAAAGTAGGAAGTATTTTAGTAAAAATTCACTACAAAAATCACTTTCAATATTAAAATCTGAACCTGTCACGACAAAGACACTGGTAAACAAAACACATAGTAATCACAGTACAATTTCATCTGACGCAAATGTCGCTCTTTCTTCAACTCATTCATTTAATGCATTTTCATCCATCATTCTTTCTCGAATTTCATCAGTTTCTCCTTTCCGTAGTTCTAAATCTCCAGCTTTGAAGTTCACGTCTAAATCACCCCCTTCAAGTCATTCTCCTATTAAATCATCTACATCTGAGTCTTTTCATTCATTGTCATCTTCTACCTCAAATCACAACTTAGTTACCTCATCTACGACTCGGTCTTTGTCACCCTCTTCACCGAGTCGTGTCTATGCTAGTTCACTTCCTGGCTCGACTTCCGTGTCGTCATCTTTTACTTCTCCGAGCCAGGGCATTGTAAGATTAGTTTCAGACTCGAACTACACGAGTAATGACTTTGTGAGCACGACATCTCCTTTTATCACTTCAATCATTGTCAATAATGGCAGTTCCATTTCACCTAATTCAGCACCGATCACGGAATCTACGATTGTTAACTTCGAAGAAACATCTTCAACGCAAAGTACAATTCCGTCAGCGTCATCAATCGAAGATTCTACAAGTCAAGAAACTGCCTTTGAGACTGCAACTAGACTGAGTTTGCGAACCAGTGAAACGAGCACAAGAAACGATACGAATGCTACTAATATTAATGTTGAACAAACCTCGAGTACAAACGAAGCCCCAACTATGGAGTTAGCGAATCTATCTGCCCAATCCATACCCCGCACTGATGCGCCAAACACTGACACCGTACGAGCCTTGCCCACAAACAAAGCAACAACAACTTTGGTATCCACGAATGCTATCTCTACTAGAAGGGAAACAACCGTAACCCGCTCAACTAGTTACAAAACTACTGGAACAACAGAAATAAACTCTTTTATTACTTCAACCGTCATTGCGAACTCAAATCCAAGTGTCATTGTGGAGAAGGTGTCTGGAGTACCCACAACAGTTCGAATCGAAGGTCTTGAAGGCGCAACATCCATAAGCACCACAGCAGCATCGACGGATTTCGACAATATTTCATCATTTCCAAATTCAAACAAAACTGATAATATACCCGAAACCACTTCTTCTTATGACTCTACTCCTGATGCTCCCACATATTTTGAAAACGAACAGTACACATCCGAAGAGCCGCCTGTAACAACTATCAACAGACTGTTTACAACACCACCCGTTTCAACCGCAGCACAAACCTCGCCTGGCAAAAGTTCAGGTACAAGCATGCAGACTGAAATGGCCAGCCCTGTGGAATCAACCACACCAGCGACAGTACTGACGAGCCAGAAAGCAATATTTCTAAGCACTGACTCAATGGATAAATGGATGTTATCGACGACAAATTCAGTCACTCAGCCAATAACGACTTCCGTCGCTTCAACGGATGCAACCTCAGCTACAATCACTTCTGTTGGATCAACCACTTCTGTGGGATTAACCACTCCACTGACAGTAATGACGAGCCAGGACACGATGTTGTTCAATACTGGCCCAGGCGATGAATCTATATTATCGACTACAAATTCAATCACTGAACCAATAACGACTTCCAGCACTCTATCGTCTGCAACCTCAACTTCAGCCACCGCATTTACTAACATTGTTTCACAATCTACTACAACACAGAGTGACAGCAATACAAGAAATGAATCTAATTTGGCAGAAACGACCGTGAGTTCCACTGCGCTTCTTACGGACGAAATCACGCAGGAAGTCACTGTGACGCAACAAGTACCTACGTCAACTACCAGTGACGTCACAAGCATCGATGAAACCCAAACAGCAAATTTGGAATATCCTTCAACAACCATATCTTTCAATGAAATACCATCGAGCTCAGTAATAAATGGAATTCGAACACCCACTGCAACTTCTTCTATTACTGAACAAACATCTCAATCTACAAGAGAAACTACAATGCCGGCCGAAACAACTATAATTTCTACAACACAGACGTCTTCGAAAGCAGTTACACAAAGCCAACAGCAAACAACTGGTTACACTCAGTCCATCGCTAGCTCGACAGTTTCAGAGATTTTATTGAACGAGACTAGCACTTCACAGAACAGTTTCGTTACATCTGCAACCACAAGTACAGATGGTATAGAAACTTTGACCCCTTCAGAAAGTAGCGCTGGACCAAATTTTGAGAATAGCATAAGCACAGATTCTACCGCAACAGTCTTCGAAATTGAAACAACAAGCACAAATACATTTCAAACAACTGAAACATTACTTGCCACAACAAACGTCCTGACAGAAACAACCCCAAATGCTTCTGGTACAGTATAATCACGATATATTCATAGCCATTACGATTAATACATAAAAATGTGCACGCAAACTCATATTTTGAAATTACAAAATATGGTCTAATATAGCGGCTTTGACGCCTGAAATAAGTAAACAATAGGATGTGCTAGTACTACTTACATAAACACTAAAATATTGATAACTCAGTGCAAAGCAGTAGCGTTGTAAATTAAAATTGCGCTTACTAGCTTTGAGAAAAATAATTGGAATCGCATATTGTTATAGAAATATTTGCTTTGGTGGTTTACCTGCTTTATTAGGCTTATTCCAAATATATTTTTGATAAATGTTCATTTTTATATCCCAAATGAATTAAAAATGTATTATCTATATTTATGATTGAGTTCATACTTTATTAAACGAATATTTTATTGATGGCAGCTTGTTCCAGCGAAAAAACAGGTACGGACCCAAGCGGGTATATTCTATGGCCGACTACTAATAGCGGATCAGTGGCCGTTTCGTCCTGTCCCACGCCAACTTCAAAGACAGCTACAAGAGTATGGTGAGATTCATTTTCTTTAAATCGGGCGGATTTGTGCAACTTTAGGCCATTGAATGGACGGACCTCCTGAAGTATGCGCACCAAGATAGCGCACAACCTGAACTACTTCAGAAGTACCGAATGGACAATATAGATCAAAAATCTTTTTTGTTTTGATTGGTCATGCTTTCAATTTGCGTTCTGATTAAAAATGGCGAAGTTACTGCAAAGGAAGATGATCTTCTTTAACACAGTTTTCATATTAGCAGATTCCAATATCAGCAAGAAAATTGGATTTGTATTTACGGTATTATACATTTTTTTTCAACAGCAATTCTAGCAATTGGGGAGCGCCTGATACCTCGGCATGCACACAACTTAGTCCACGAAGTCGAGAACTGCAGGATCTTGACAGAACAACTATAGTAGCAGGTAATCGATATTTTATAAAACTATTATTTAAGCCATCGTACCGCGCAGAGGCTCTATACAAGCCTACTTTGTGTCTACCCATACTCGGTATGTAAAATTGCCTATGCATTTCCGAGAAGGAGCAATTTCATTTGACATCACTCAAGTTTGGAATAACCAATAATAATATTTGATACCTAGGCATCAAATATTTCTTTAACACCAGTTAGTACTCTCTCGAATGGCCGAGTGTATTTTTCGCGTCAGTCCAGGCGTTCAAAAAACGGTGCTCACGGTGTATTCGTAATAAGATGGCGCACAACCTGAATATAGTATGTGTACTAGAGATGTACCGATAACACTTTTGTCGCCGATACCGATACCGATCCGATACCAGCTAAAAACGCCGATACCGATACGCCGATACTACAAAAAGGCCGATATTACCGATATTCCGATACCGATACTATGTAATTATTACTTAATTAGGTGTGCTGTGTAGGGCAGACGGGTTAAACCAATGGTCTTTGAGCGTTGTTCATAGTACACATTATTTCAGATCGATCGAAAAAAAAAGATATATCACATTATATGAAATTAATGTTTGGTGCTTCCTTAACTGATTAATATACATTGTACAGTAACGCTAGTAATATCGGTGTTCAATTAGAAAACTCATAAGCCGGGATGTCCAATTTAAATTTAATGTTAATAACGCGACCTTCGAATATCGTTATTCGTGTTTAAAAGAATATCGAATATTACCCACACATTCTAGCGCCGCCGTCTTACGTTCAAATTAAAAGCATTTTACAAATATTTTATTTCGTGGCTAATCGTAATCGTCGACGCAATAAGTCAAAGCCAACATGAAAGAATATTAATCAACACCGACAAAAAGAAGGCCTACCCATAACCGTCGAGGATGTTTTTTTACTTTACTATTTCATAATATTTTACAATTGCTATCATATATTTTGAGACAGTCAATATATCTATAAAGAAATTGTGTAGTTGAACGAAATTCAAATTAATACTTGCGTAGAGGGATAACTGTGTCGGAATTTAGTTTATCGATGTCGACGGACTAAATGACTCTCGTACTTGACGACAAACAGTCAGAATTTATACCCGTGCCAAAAGTCCATGTGCCGTTAATAAGGACCCCAATTTCACTGTATGATTTGAAACTGGGCGACTAGTTGCTTTTTGTTATGTGCTGTGTTGATATATTTCTTCATAATTACTATGTAATATTAAAAATGTCGATATAAAAATTTGACAGCGAAAATAACCAAATTAGTTGAGCTAGTTTGGCTGATGAATAGCTAAAAACACGTGAATCCTATTCTCTCGCGGGGGTGGGGACATGTATGGCTCATAGCTCACGATCTCTTCAGACAAAAAATGAATTAAAAAGTAGTATTCCAACTTAACTTTTAAAACATTCTGAACCATATCAAAAAGGTAAATATATCGGAAATATCGGCCTTAACCTAACTGATATCGATACATGGCCGATACCGAAAAAATGGCCGATATTGCCGATATCGATACCGATATATCGGTACATCTCTAATGTGTACCAGGTTAGGGTGTACAGGTTGTGCGTCATCTCGGTACGAAAACTTCCGGAACGCCCAAAAAACGGCATGTGTACAAAGGCCTGGGGAAGCCGGAGTTTGGCATATTTTCACTGGAATCGAAGTCGTATTTTTAAACTACCCAAAGTTTTTTAAACTACTCAAAGTTTACCAAGCGTTCTCAACAGTCAATTACTGGAGGCTTGTCGAGGCTTTTTTTAATTGAAATAGGATTTTATTTTAATAACAAACTGTAGTCGGAGTCAAAATTTATTACGGCGCTCGGGAAGTATGTGCACCAAGATGGCGCACAACCTGAACCTTAACCTGGCACACATACTATGTTCAGGTTGTGCGCCACCTTGGTGCACATACTTCGGGAGCGCCTTTTTTACAACCCAGAGTCGAAGTCAATTTTTTTTTTTTTTTCCTAAAAACGAATGTAAATTACCCTCAACTCTACAGCCCTGTTTACAGCAAGAGGTCTTTACGTTAAAGCTCTTGGTTTATTTCAGGAAACGCAGCGACGCTCGCAAATCAAATTCTCAATGTCACCAGCAACGAGAAAGATTCTCTCGTTGCATATGACTTGCAACTGGTATCAAATATTCTGTTGAAAGTTGTAAACGTTATCGGAGAAGAAAACAATTATGACATCACCAGTGACGTCATAAACTCAGTGAGTAATGTCATAGAGGCACCGAGTGAAGAATTGAGAGTGGCATCACAAGAATTTTCATCAAACTCAAGGTAATTGAGATTTGGGCAGCGTTGATTTCGATCGATTTTTGTCAAATTTTTTTCGCTCATTATGAAAATTTATAAATTATTAAATTAAAATTTTGCAAACAAGAGAGTAATGCTCAAATATATCGACACGAAAGGGCTGAGGGGCCGTGCCCCACCCCATATTTTAGCGATTGTATTCCTTAGATCGGGGGTTCTCAAACTTTTGGTGTTACGGAGCCCGAGAAGAAGTTGACTATTTTTCACGGAGCCCACAATAATTTTTTGAAATAGAACAAACAAAAACACATTGATGCTTACCGATGAATTTTCTGAGTAAATTAAAATTACTTTCCTTGATTTAAATTCTAAACCATTTTTAATTGGGTTAATACAAGCCATGAATAAATCTGAATTTCACAGATAAATTATATATACAAAGGCTGTAGATTTGACACTTGACAAGCATATTAATAAATTCGGGGTCGTATTCGGTTTTGGATATTTTTGAAAGACTCAGAAAGTCGCTAAATAACGTGCGCGATTGCATTTTGTTAAAATCGCTTAAAATTGTTTTCGTAAGCGTGACGTTTTTTTTTTGAGACTGTAAACTTCTTTACGTCGGTGTTTATTCTCCCTAAATCACAAATTTTTTCCGGCTTATGCATGTTACGTTCCACAATGACAACAATAATTGCTTTTTTGTTCTCGTACAGAATTGTGAGTCCATTGAGAAAAATATTTTAGTATATTATATTCATCGACAACGCCAAAAATAATTAATAAAGAAGTGCATCCGCAACCCTAATTTCGGCTTTATAAAATATTTTTCGGCTTTATAAAACCTAAAACGGAAGTAACACCATAAGTTTTGTTTTAGCAGACTCGAAACAGATTAAAAACGCTTTGCACACAATATAAATCACAAAATTTGGTGTTATGTTAGGTTTTCTTTAGAAATCATACCATATACACTGAAATCGAAACATAGTCAACTGTGCGCGTGATGTACCTTTTTATCCATTCTGAAACTACCGGCGGAGCCGCATGCGCTTTTTGCAGTATGTGACGTCTTTTCAGATACTAAATATAAAGTGTATCAATCAATTTTCATTTTGATAAAATGACATTCAACAAAATTGAGCCAATAAACAAGCCATTTTAAATATGCCCGCATCCGTCATGGATTGCTTAGTTGTAAATTGTACTCATTGAGATTTCAACGCCGACCTTGGGATTTTTGTAAAGACGATATCTTGCTTAAATATTCTTGAGTGCTGAAAGCAGGAAACTCTGTATACGGCGAATCCCAAGATTGCAAAATGTGATTCCAATCCATTTATTGTTGGCAATTTAGCACTTATTTTATGTTATTTTAGAATAGTAATCTTTCATTTTAATAATCGTAAAACTAATTTCGACTCAAAGGCGAGTAACGATAAACACAATTATTATGACAAGACATTTTGAATGTTCGCGCCGGTCATGGATTGAATATTTTACGCAACAGAAATCTCGTTATCCACTGAAAAAGTCTTTTTGTTAACGAGTGGCCTAATCGCGGAGAATGTTGCGCGGAAATTTTTAATTCCAATTTTGAACCCTCCCCTGCTTTTTAACAATCCTGGCTGCGCTCCTGCTTACAGATAATGTCATATTTAAATTACCGCCTTGTTGCCATGTTTCGACGCAACTGTTGTCAAAATTTATGACGATATTCCTCAATGATGATATTACTTAATGGTGTTATTGCTTCTTTGGAAAGATACAAAATTAGCCAAGTTAGTATTTTTAATAAGTTATCGAATAGATCGCGGAGCCCCTAGGTTTATCTCACGGAGCCCTGGGGCTCCGAAAGGAGCACTTCGAGATAACCTCAAGAGATTCTCTAAGATATTGTTAGATATTAGTCGCTGTTTTACTTTAGCCTTGTTCGGAGTAGGCGTCGTATTACGTCATTATACAAAAAAAATATTTGGGGCTTACTACGCTCACGTAACTGCAGATTTGCAATAACTATTCCGAGTATAATTGTTGTAATGATGACATACAATAGCCAAGATTAAAAATAAATTAACATTTTGTATTGCGAATATACAATACTTATTCCAAGTATAATCGTGGTAATGATGACATACAGTATCACGTAAATAACGCCATTGTTTACAATACAAATTGAAACAGTATTTAGTTCATGGTATATGCTCATCGGTGGCTACGCGGCATTAACATTTTGACATGAGTTATGGCATTGTTTCCAAGGCGTTGTGTATATATATTAAGTTTATGAAAACAAAACATTTAAAAATACACACAATATCCGGAATCCGTATGATTGTTCATTCTAAAAGTATTTCAATAGATATTGTAAGTCTAATTTTAGAATTCTATTTCCCAAATATTCCGGAATGAATATTGCCAACAAACACTATAAAGCTAAAAATATTCACACCTCCTCAAATTATGGATTTGTTTCAAATGAAGCTATTTTTGGTGCTCTTTAACGGTCCATTGCGCCCCCGAATCGGGCGCCAATAGTCTGCATTGTTTGTTCATAAATCCTTTTAATGACCACAATCCAAGCAATTTCGTATCAAAACAAAGCCTATGACGTCATAATTTGCTGTGCGTAAATAAAGCATTAATCTTAAACTATTGAGGACAAGAAAAGCTCGACATTCGCCAAAGTGAATGAAATTTTGTTATGTCAAACGTGAATTTTAGGTTTATTAATAAATAATTTTGTCTAAATATAGTCATAATCGCCACAAGCAAACTTGTCGAATCTTGTCAAACTTCGGCCCGTCCAAAATTAGATTTCCTTGGTTAAGGTTTCAACAAAATCTCTTTTGATAATATAACAAGCCCATCATTAGGAGTAATCGTTTAAAATTCGTTGTTCGCGCTTAAAACTATAGGCTAAATATAGACTATTCTGAAATGTCAATAATTTCCTATTAATTGTTGAATATACTTGTTCAGATTACAATAATAAGAAAGCCCAGGCAATACCATTGCGTGAAGTTTGAAAAATGGAGTTAAACGTCTTGAAAATCTTGCCAATTAAACTCGTAGGGTCCTGTCGCTATTTCGCGTTTTAAAAAAAGATTTTCTGGGTTATGGTCTCAATTAAATCCTCTTTGGTTTTTTATCAAGCCCCTAAGAATAAGTATCTGGAATTAGGTTTTTGCGCCTAAAACTGTGGGCTAAAGATAGACTATTCTGCAAATAATATTAGATAAGCTTGTTCAGCTGTATTACACAGATATATGAATAAAGTGGGAATGTTCATGCAGTTTGTATGTAAACAAATACCTGCTGGTTCAGCAATTAAATAATTATCAATTAAACTGAATTATATTTCTCTGGTTAAGGTTTCAATCAAATCATCTTTGTTAATTTATCAAGCTCCTAAGAATAAGTATTTGAAATTGGGGATTTGCGCTGAAAACTATAGGCTAAATATAGACTATTCTGGAAGGACGGTAATTTTATACGAAATTATCAAATATACTTGTTCAGCTGTGTATAAAATAGGATTACGTAATAAGCAAGTCAAGGCAATATCGTTGATTTTTTTTATAAATGGTGTTAAATGTCTTAAAAATCTTACCAATTAAACTCGTATAGTCCTGTCGATATCACGCGTTTCAAAATTAGATTTTCTGAGTTATGGTCTCAACTAAATAATCTTTGTTAATTTATTCAGCCCCTAAGGATAAGTATTTGAATTTAGGTATTTGCGCTTAAAACTATGGGCTAAATATAGACTATCCTGAAAAGATTATTGGATATGCTTGTTTAACTGTATATTAAATAAGATTACATGAATAACTAAATAAAGCAGGGGTGTTTTCGTAGTCTATATGTAAACAAATTATAGCTGGTTGAGCAAATAGATACTTGGCAATTACCCAAATTATGTTTGTACAAAATGAATTTAGAATTTTATTTATTATTTATAATTCATGCGAAGAGTTTGTTTAGTAAGGCTGGTTTTGTTACTCAACTGGTTTTTCTGTTTTCTTCCATTTCACGTCAAATTCTTGCTTAGAAAGTTCACATTTACATAGGCATGAAGTTTGCATATACAGGGCCTGCAGGGAGATTCTTTAAGAAATCGTTGGACATAAAAGGCGAGATCACGTCGTATTAGTAACTCCTCACTCCCCTTCCCTATTCTTGGGATGGCTCGGCGGTGTGGCGCATCGTGCTAAGCGTTAGGAATACGCTCGCCACCGCACCTCTGAATACCAAGCGTAATCTCGCAGGTTCGACCTTCCGCCATCAAATCCATGCATCTGAAAACTTATCCTATTATAACCTTTCAAATACATAAATGCCGGAAAAACTCGGTCATGCTATACACCTGCGATAGCAGTAATAGCCCGGCTCACACTCACTTCCATCTGGTTGGAGCACAATATAATCAGCGGAACATTACGAGCGTGTCCGAACATTTAGCGACAAATGGCCAAGTTTTGGTAAAAATATAAAGGGTAATTGCGCCGGAAAATTAGCCCAAGTCATTTTCAGAAAATTATTTGCGATTTTTTTGCAGGCTCGTGCAAGTAATCGACAACGTGCTTCTGAAACTTGAAGTACTAACCGACCAAAACGTCTACCTCAACTCGAAGAATGTAAAAGTTGCAGTTGCTGGAATTAGTGGAAACGAAACATTTACTGGAAAATCATTTACGCTGTCGTCCAATTTACAGGTAAATTGATGTTTTTTAAGTGATTTTCAACTGCTCTAAACAAAGCGCTGGTCAAGTAGATAATGGCACCAATGAACATCAAAGACTTTCTGGTCAATCCGTTACCCCATTTGTGGATTACTGAGACCGGAGGTTACATTCTTCTGAAATTATCCTGCGTATAATTATTGGCGATTTATATAGATCTTACTCTTAATCTTAAGCAATAATTTTACTCTTCGAAACATAAAGTCATAAAAATACTCCTTAATACTTCTATGAGTGCACGGACTGCTTGATCAAAATTTTACCTTCCTAGAATTTGATTCTTTTCTGAGCTTTTCTGATTTTATTGTTTCGTATAAATCCAATCTTTCGATCGTAAAGACCCACAAACCTATTAGTCTAAACAAATTTGTTCAGTCAATATTAAAATTTTCCTTTTATTTCAGCCTGGTATATCCGATGGGACCGACTCGGGAGGCAACTCTGGCCAGGCTTCTGTGTTTATTCCACCAAGTGTCACAGAGAAAGTAACGTCCACTAGTTTTACAAGAATTCAATTTGCGGTTTACACGAGTACTGCTTTGTTCAATGTAAGTATAGGCTTGTTGGACACAAAATGTGTATATCTATGTGCATGTAGATCGTTTGTTATTATGTTGTTGTTGATCATGTTGTTGGTATTCTTCTTTTTCTTGATTTTTGTGCAATGACGTCATCAAATTGAAAAACTGGCTCCTTGATTTGAATTGACAAACAAGGTATCCATTAATATTGAAGTTAAAGAAATATTTTAACCTATCCGAGATATTTTGTTGTCTAGGATTAGTGAAGCTGGATTGGTAAAACCCAAGATCAAGACATATTCATATTAAACAAATAAAATAGAACGTCTGAAACCCGACACCGGTACTTTTTACTATAACGGCCTCTTAGGAGAATCACTCAATTAAAAAACGAGTTATCACAGAAGATCGGTAGTTTTTCCTACTTCATTAGGCGGATGTATTCAGTAGATTATTTTTTGCCTTGCTGCAAGAATGAACTAATTTCCCAGTGGAGGGAGGCGTGATATATATATATATTTATCTTTGTAGTGAAAAAATGTTTCAAGCATCAGATTAAATAATTCATTCTGCTTACAGCATGTTCGAGTGGATGATGGCACCGTGCCAGATCTCGGGTCAAATATGAACGTCTCAGTGTATTCCGACCATGTTGTATCAGCAAGTATAGGTGAGTGATGACATATATTTGAAATAGAAGAGTTGACGTGAAATCTAAATTCATTACCGATATCGGTACGGAATGTTTGGAAGAGCAATCTCTGTTCACCACGATAATGAACTTGGCTTTGTGTTCTACAGCGGTTCCCAACCGGGAGCCCGTGACCCACCAATGGGGCAACAGAGCAGTTGGAGGGGCCACATCGCTAAGCACAAAACTGATTTTAGTTTCTCTTTCCTTTACAAAAAAAACACTTGTTCTTCTTAAATCCATTGCTTGATAATGTGATTTCACAGGGTGTTTTCACTTTGTTGAGCATGAATTGTTTGAACATAATGGGATTTGGGATCTACCAATCAAAATAACACTATAAGTACCACTGGGATAATAAACAAGGGGGCCATGAGTGCTATTAGCTTTCGAAAGCCACGGGCCATAAAAGGCTGAGAGTATCTGATGTACTACCTCAAATATTGTGAAATAATAAAAAATCCTTTAGTAAGAATCCGAGTGAGAAAACGTGGAAAAAATCCTCGGGAACAAACAGATGTTTCGTTTAGTCTCGAAACTTCATATTTTGAGTATTTCAATTGAAACAAATGAAGAAAAACTTGAATGCATATTTGGGCGCTCCGGAAGTATTCGTACGAAGATGACGCACAACCTGAACAGCCCTAACCTGTTACACATACTATGTTCAGGTTGTGCGCCATCTTGGTACGAGTACTTCGGGAGCACCCATATTTGTTCGAATTCACTAGATTTTCGGTAATCCATATTATTCGATCTCATTTGAACAAGCTCTGCACACGCGGCTGATGAGTTCAGAGTTTATGTCACTATTTGTTCATTTGAATTGACAAAAAACCAAGAATCTTAGTAAAAAGACAAAACATTTTATAGTTATACTCATAATTATTTTTGCAGGCAACACAAAGATTACAGGATTGAGTGAAAATGTTACAATTACCATATCACGATCTAATTCATATTACGGGAAAGGACCGCATTGTGTGTTTTACAACTTCCCTGTGAGTATTTTTCGTTCAACAACAAACTATTAATTGAGACGGGTGAAATGATCGGGACAATTGGTAATTACCAAAGTGTAATTTTCCGCTATAATGCTTTATATCAGTTGTTCCCAAACCGCGACCCGCGGGCCCGCGTAACAATTTAATCGTCATAATGACCCCAATTGTTACATTGTGCTTCTCATCATTATCTGTACCTGGAAATATTCTTTAGTATCCATATGTTTTGCAATTCAAGTTTTTACTAAAAAAATTTACTCCAGGCCATGTTTTCGATGGGTCTAAACGGCTATCGACGAAGCATTACCTTATTTCCAGAGAATCTTTTTAATAATATGAAATCAAAAGTACGAATTTGAAATGCGGAGTTAGAATATATTGCTTCGTAATAGATTTTTATTGAGGCTTAGTTGAAATCTTCAAGCAAAAATTGCAAGCTGGTACACAATATGAGGTGAACCGGAATCCTTCTTGCTTGACAAAACCTATACAAATACAGTGAGCAAACGCGAGTTTTTTTTAATTAATTTCTCATTTCATTTAGAATAACGGAGGCGAGGGAAGTTGGTCGGCAGAAGGATGTCATTTAAATCCCGAATCTACCTTAACAACGACCATTTGCGATTGTAATCATTTGACTAATTTTGCTGTCATTATGGTAAGTGTGATACAGAAGCAGAGAAACCCGTTGTTTGAGCTCTTTGGGTAATTGCAACTAAGCTAGGAACCTAACTCAATTTAACGATGTCCTTGCTTCCAGATAGCCCTGAACAAGCGGTTGCTAAACTCATTATATACAAAGAGTTTTTCGTCACCGTGTGTGTGGTGGAATTCAGAGAGATGGACAATTTCAATTAAAATACATAACATTAAATGGTTGTTCGTGTAACTATTTTCAAGGAAACACAAAAATCACAGAATTAGATAAAAATGTCACAATAAACATATTGAGATCGAATTCATATTACGGGCCGGGCTCATCATGTAAGAACATTTTCTAGAAATCGAGCTCAGAAAATTATTACTCGTTAGACGGGTTCTGGTGGACAGGGTTGAGGGTATGGGTTCCAACATCTAAGTTTTAGTTAAATTAGTCGGGTCTAACGCTCCAGCCGCTTGACCATCGAGTCCACAAAAGATTTCACATCATATTAAACAACGTTCATTTATCACAGGATGTCTACGGCACGGTTGAATATTTCAATGAATACCAGAATATGATACTTCAAATACTAACGTATATAGGATGCAGTTTATCAATATTTGGATTGCTCTGCACATTGATATCTTATCTGATGTTCGAGTGAGTTTCTCCCTTTTACGGTTTTTAGGTCTCGTGCCTGTCTATCACGATTATGACTACCAAAACAGCATTGCATCGAAATACTATAAGTGAGAATTTCCCGAATATAGTATATTGCATTACAGTCCCATCTTGAGGCCATGCTGTTCTGGTCTCGAAATCGTTTTGTCAACTCATCTCGGAGTTTCATACATACAGCTATTGGGAAGAACTCACTGACGAGTGGGCCAAATGAACGTTTTGTGGTATCTTGTCCATTCCGGACAAAGGCGTCAATACCTTGGTTGGTTGATTGGTTAAAACGTTACAATAGCAAAACTACCCATGATTGTAATGAATGTATAATTCTTTGCTAACTTGATTCAAATGTTTAACAAATTGTTCTTTGAACGATTTTTTGAATCACAGAAAACTACGTAAAGAAGTTCCTGCAAAGATTTTAATCTGTCTCTGCGCAGCACTGATCACTGTGAATATAGTTTACCTTTGTTTGCAGTCTGCTTATTACAGGTAAGTTGCATTGGAATCAACAACATTTGCTGGTGGCCTGCGATGGCGCTATCTATTTGTAAGGATAAATATAATCGAAAACATTCTTTACTATTGTTTGATATACAAGTTTACTCAAAGTATGTCCCGAGCTTTATACCAACTGTGTAGAGCCGCGGTTCCCAAACTTTTTGTTCGTGCGGCGCCAAATTACCAAGAGACAACTCACGGCGCACGAGTTCTGATTAAAATATGCAAGGCATAAGATATGAGTAAGGTATTGAAGCAATGCGTATTGGTTTATCCTTGTTACGCGTATGTAAATGGGTGACGAAACAATACACGAAATTAAACACGACAGAATAACGCCTAAGCGGAATGATGTTCCACAAATCGAAGTTTTTGAGAAGAACCCGTAACCGTCAATAAATAAGTGGGAACCATACAGTGTATGAATGAGGACTAGAGACTAATAAATAGAGGAATACACTATACCTGAATATATAATAGCTTTACGCTAAAAACATTGCAGAACTGTATTACTTTCTGCTCGTAACCAAATTACTGGTAGATTAGGAGGAGATTTTTATGAAACTTCTGAATTACAAGGTCACTTTTCATGAATCACTGCGATGTCCAGGGTCAGTGATTGACCTTTTTTCCTTACTGGCAACAGACTCTCATGACCCCAGAAGGTCATATCGTTGCCTCCCAATTATATACGCGGTATATACAGTACTCCTGTAGTGTGTGTACCAGGTTAAGGTTAGGCCATAGTTTTATTCCGATTTTCTTTATTTTCGTTCTATTACGAGTTCGGGGACTGTCTGTGTTAGCCAAGTGCATATGCTCGCTGCTCATAGGCTTCCATCCCTTTACACAACTTGATGTGAAGTGGGAGAACAAAATTACTTACCTACATATTGAAACACACACTTCTGGAGCGCCCGAAAAACATCTGTTTATTTATTATTTATATATGTATGTAAATACTGTGTGTTTCATGGTTTGACAAAAAAATTTAAAATAAATTATCTAAAATAAACTAACTATTATTTTATTTAGTTCTCACACAACTTGCGTTGCTATTGCTGCAATAATGCATTACGCGTTACTGAGTTCCTTAATGTGGATGGGATTGGAGGCGATCAACATGTACATTGCTCTTGTCAAAGTATTTAACACGTACTATAGAAAGTATATGTTGAAGATGTCACTCGCTGGATGGGGTGAGTTTAATATGTTTGAATGTTGATCTCGTTGAGGATTACTTTCTGGGGGCGTGGTTTGTCGAAAATGGGCGTGGCTGATTTTTGGGTCATTCTCAACAAACGTATCGTCTCAGTAAAGCCAAAGCTGCCTATTTTTTAAAATTTTAAAATGGACTTTTTCATTTTCTTCCGTTATGGACCAAAGAGGCGTGACTTGTCATATATGGGCGTGGTCTCATTTTGGGGTCATGCTCAACGAACATATCGACGCAGTGAAACCAAAGTCATTCATGTCACATTTTTTATGAATGAATTTTTTGATCTTCTTGCATTATGAACCAGGGACCTTTTTTTGGTCTGGATTTCAATGTTGCACCTGCTTCAGTTTTAATTTTAGGTAATGTTTTATGTATATTTTCAGGTTGGGTTGTTAGAACCGAACTATTACAAAAATGCAAAACCTCAAAAAGTGACTTCAAACTTCTATATACTGGAATAAAAATTAAGGATAGAATAGGATTTACCTATTTATCCCGGGGGAGAGGAAAACCGATAGGCTTTACCATATAGTGAACCACGGCCTCTGGTCCGGTTACCAGTCCATGTCGAGTATGGAATTAGTTAGCCAGTTATTTGTTTTCGGAAGCATGGACTTTGTGGTGGAGGAAGCCGTAACTGACCAGCGGTTACGTGAACCACCCTACAACGGCGAGGAGTTCAGCAATCCTCTCGCACATAACTATCCCGCATGGAATTCGAACCTGCGAACCCACGTAGAGTAATCAGAGGTGCGGTGGCGAGCGTATTCCTAATGCTTAGCACGAGATAAAGATATATTTCAAATATACGGCAAAAGTCTCAATACAGCATCACTAGTGATGTGTACCTCATAGCACGTGTATGGCAGACGATAAGCAAAAATGCTAATTATCATGGATCTCCACATGGAATCGTATATTATCCCCGAATACAAGCTTGCACTACGCATCTGATGCCAAACAGAGGTGTATTTACATTTTTTTATTTCACAGGTGTGCCACTTCTGATTGTCTTGATTGCTTTCATCGTTCAGTTCGCCACTGGGATTCCTTCATATGAAATGAACAGCAAAACAGAAATGTAAGTCTTTGAACTCCCATTATCAAGTTCATGTATCCGAAATAAATAATTCACTAACTAATTCCACACCCGACAATGACTGGTAATCGGGCGAGCGGCCTTGCAGCCTTATGAATCAGCCGTTCTATTTATTGCCGTTTCTCCCGAGACTTCTAGTGGTTGCTAAAAAAAGGTGATTTTCCGAAGTGACTTGGTAAAAAGCCAGTTGTTGTTTTAATGAGTTCTAGGTTATAAATAATATTGACATGAAAAAATTTCGATTTTCACAGATGCTGGCTAAGAAGAGATGTTTTCTACGGCACATTAGTTGCTCCATTTGCAATTGTATTCTTGCTAAACAGCGTCATATACTGCTTAGTACTCGCACAATTGCTCGGGATGTCCTCGAGGAAGCTCAAACATCTCGACTCAGCAAGAAAATTGAAGAAACCTGCCAAACGAGAAAATTTTAGAAAACTGAGAGGAGCGATAGGTGAGTAATAAATAATTGGTTCCATGATTGGTGCTATATGCGAGAAAACGTTACGTAAAACATATATATCGACAGCACATATTTCAAATATGTAGATATATATTTTGATGAATTATATATGTAATAGTTATTGTGTTAAAAATTGAAGCTCAGCAAAGTATAATTATCGTTTTATACTTAACATTATTGGATAGCATTATTCATACTCTTCATTTCACAAAGATTTATTTTAATAAATTAGATATGCATCAGATATTTCGTCAGAAATCTCAAGTTCAGTGCCTTATTCATACTCGGAGAATAAGCAAAGGCACCACAAGCTGTGTAATATTAATCAACGCGGTTACAAAACGGGAGTTCCCCTCATTTGCGTAGACACTTGCTTTGAACTAACATTCATTGAAATATTTTTCAGGTCTCATGGCACTACTTGGTATATCGTGGGGATTCGCACTTGGAACTTTTGACAAAGCAGCCCTCACATTCGCTTATGTGTTCGTTGTCTTCAATAGTTCACAAGGTATTGTATTATCATTCATTAATAACCAATGAATTCTGCAATTTTTGCCATTGCTAAGTTTTTGTTCTAATTTGTTACGTAATGTTTGCTGTAATGAGCAAATGATATATTTTTCAATCATTGGAATTCCACCGGTAGTGGTTATGGTAAAACCAGAATATTTTGTAGAATATACTGTATTATTCTCACTGTAAACAGCTTAGTTTGCATGTATACCTTAACCGAGAATGGTATAAATAGTATACGTTATAGTATAGGAAATTCACTGTTAAGTACAAAAGTTTGTTTGCAACAAAGGCAAGTTACCGTGCCCTTGTTGCATGAGTTCCCTTAGTAGTATTTTCTTTTAACTTATCATATAAAGATATTATACAAAATCACTGTTATAAAATGATTTTGATGTTTTAACCAAATTCTAGGATTCTGGGTTTTCATATTCCACTGTGTCTTGAAGAAGGAAGTCAGTAAATGTTGGAAGAAGTTGATATTCAACAAAGGAACATTTAGAGATGGAAGTTCAAGATGGAGCAGGTATAGAAGTCTTGTTTTGTTATGCTCGAAACACGAATTTTTCCATAAATCTACGGCAATGCGTACTTTACTGAGGCTTAGCGCGTATATACTGTATATATATATATATTTAAACTAATCCAATACATAACATCAAATTATACGGGGAAAACTTATTGGAGATAAACACGAGAATATCGGTCAGAGACCGAAGACTTATCGATCGAAAGTTAGGGGATCCCCCCAAAACAGCGCTCTTACTCCATAGTGACACCTTGTGTCCCATCACTAATTAATTATTAACTCGCTAATTATACGACATAATTCATCCAAAATCAATAGGCTTCTGGTACGACGTATGATGAATGCACATGCAAAATCTGGAGCAAATTCAATCTCGCTTTTGTGAGATATCGCGTGCATCTAACAGACAAACAGACAGACAAATATCTATCAACATACTTACTAACTTCACTAAACGTACTTTTATATATGTATTCATCCTGTTCCAGTACATAATATTAAATTATACAGGGAAACTTATTATAGATAAACATAATACCAAAGTAGGACAATAGGGTTTCAGCGCACCACGACCCATAATTGTGCTTATTTCACTTAGCGCACTTCTATATTTATCCTATTCCAGTACATAACATTGACATATATGAGGAAAACTTATTATGGATAAACATAAAACCAAAAGTGGGACAATAAGGTTTTTAACGCGCCGCGTCCCGGGCCTTTCAATACAATTAAACAAAATTAATATATTTTTAACAAATTGAATATCATCACTCCGTGCGTATGGTCGAGTAATATATTGCTGATCGCTTATTTGTAAGACGAACCCAATATACCAATATCTGATGTCCGAAAATGCTCTTTCGGGCTTCCGGGGTCATTGACTGTGAACATCCGCTTTGCATGAAATCATTCATCAATATACAATATTTGATTTCCATTTCTCCTAATTTTCACTTTAGTCAACATGACACCTTATAATTTCAAAATTACCTGTTCTCTAATTTAGATTCAGCAGTAGTAACACTAGAGGGAGCCGTTCAACGACTACGTCATCAGCAAGAAGTATGTCAGCGTCATCTATCAGAACATCCTACCTTGGTGAGAAAATTAAAAATGTAGAAAACCACAATATAAAATTATAATTCTGTAATCAGACCTACTGATTGCAGCCTTTTGTCAGCCATCGGGCGGAATCAGGTTCAACGTATACTCCTAAACTTATGATAACCTTCCAAAAAATTGAACTTCCGTAACAATCGAATTGTGAGGTAATTTATTCCTGATTAAAAGAGTTTCTCTATGTTGTACATATAATTCAAAATTGGCTACTTCGACAATTTGCATTCACAACGTTGTAGCCCTACTGGACAATTGAATGACACGTTTTCGCGGATCCCTAACCAGTTGATTGGCGGTAAAATAAAACAGGTAGACTTTGTACATTTCACTCTAACAATTACAGACCAAATAATGTTTAATGATTCTCAATTGAGGGGGACTAAGGCATTGTATAGTGAACTGCAAGTTCTTTCTCCTTATTTACTTTCTATTTCGGATCCGTTGCTTGAACGAGGTAGTATTATAAAGATAAAACAAGAACAACATCTTTGCTATTTTGTGAAATAGATTATATTATTCTTACTTATATTTAATTATCAACAGTTCCAAAGCCATCTAAATCTGTGGACAGAAGCGAGGCCAGTATTGGAATGGATTCAAAAGGACTCGACGTTGTTACAAGAACAAACTCTACAGCCAATCCAGTGTTCGATGACCCAGGTATCGCGATCGTTTTTCTAAAATATGGTTCGGTTTTTTGAGTGTAAGACTTTGTCAGCATGCATTGAAGATTATTGTCATATTTATATGCATTCTAACCTTGACACGGGCAACCTACCCGTTTAAATATAGTGACTATAAATAACTGATTTTGTGTAGATTGCTTGTAGCAAATTTACGAGACACCTTATAAGAGTGTGCTGCTGGCCCATATGACATAAATGATAAACACTTATACTTATTTGTACATATACTGTTTCATATAGTAAAAATTTTGTTAAGATATTGGACCGCCTCCGCCTTTCCCTCCTCCACCGATTCCCACAGAAGAACAAATCGTAAGACGAGTTCCTCGTAGAACTTCGCCACAACCTTCAACGACCATTTCGACCCAGACTGACATCAATTTGCTACATTCTTCAGATACAGGTGGGTAACACGAAAAAACTTTAAACTCGGCCGAAGACAATTGCTTCGGGTTATATCAAATTCATGCCATGAAGGAATGTGGGATAAAGTATGTGCTACACTGGCGCCCCACAATGCTAAGCGTTCGGGTACTATTTTCATACCCATCATGTCGCTGGGAATACTCCTGCCCTCATTTCAGTGGTATGCTTAAGAATATTAAAAACTAAATTGAGCATTTCTGTTCGTCAAAAATGTAATATTTGAATTACTTGATCTCCAGCGTGGGAATGAAATTTACTATGTACTCGCGGAGTATCGAATTAGGGCTCAATTCCAATTTAAGACAAACTACACAAACATACTGAGTTGAGGTATTCAAACAAGTTAAGTGACATAATATTGAGATTAGAAACGACAAAGTTTAAAATACTATGGGACTATGGGTTGACAATTGTTTTTCAACTAACAAACGATGCAACTGAATATCTACACAATATATTTTTGTAATTTAAAACTGTAGTAGATTGTTAGGTTTAAAACTGGTGTCCATTTTAGACTCACAGAACAGCATGGAGAGTATGGAGAACTCAAGACAAGATGAACAAAACATGGAGGACGAAGAGCGACGTGATAGCGTGAATAACAATTCCGGACTCCCAGGAATACAAGGATTCCAATTTCCCGACCATCGTGAAGTAGTGATTTCTCCGTCAAATGAAAGTGGAATTTACTCAGATGCGAGTGTTTCCAGTACAGCGATATTGGTGGAAATGCCGACTTATATGGACTTAGAAAGCAACAACAATGAGGTTTCAGCTCTGAGAAATAATGACGTTAGTGGTCATCATTCTGGAGAAATAAACTTGGGATATGAAGACGATACGCTGGATGACGTCACAATTATATCTAATGACGTAACATTGATAAACAGTGGGGCCAACGACAATGTAGATATTGTCGAAAGGCATGGAGGGGTAAACAGTAGACCACATCAGCGTTATGCTGTAAAGGAAACGAAACCCGACAGTACTCCAGGTATGCCACGAATAAAAGGTACGAACAGCCTTACGGATGATGCGAGGAATACAGATAGCGGGATAAGTATTTCAAGCGATGCTACGGGGGCTGGAAGCTCTACTGCTGGTAGCACGCGTAGCGAGAGACCAGAACTTGTCACGCAAGATAGCAGGTCAAGTTTGTACAGTGTAAACAGTAACACTAGCAGTGCAAGTGGGCCATCGAGTGGGTCTGAATCATCTTATCAAATCGGTAGGGTGAGGGACCGGCAGAGTTCAGGTGATCTGCCGTCTCCTCATTTATGGAAAGCTCCATTGGTAATAAAACGGAGCGACGATCACACAAAAGCAAATAAAAAGGAAGGTATTTTCCGGCGCAAACCAGTCATAACTGGTCCTAATGACAATTCCAGTACAAAAAGGGCATTGTGGAAGAGGTCGCGGAACAATTCAAAAGATAACAGTGCTGAAAAACAGAGCATGACTTCGTTCCCACCAAAGCGCAAACTGAAACGTCAGCCCAATAAATCGGAGAACTGTGACAAATCCGAGGGCGCGACTAATAAATTAGATATTCAAATGACAAATTTTAGCCTAAATCGAGGCAGCTTTCATGACGGAGCGTTGTAGCTTGAATAGTCAAATGCTTCAACACTACATAAGTTCGCTAATTATTTCTCATACTTCGTTTGGTACTCCCGCATTATGTGAATCAAGATGGCGGACATCGGAACGTAGTATGTGTACCAGGTTAGGGTTAGGCCATAATTTTATTCGAATTTACCTTATTTTAGTTCTGTTACTAGTTCTGGGACTAGCCAAGTGACTACGTAGTATTTGTACCTGAAATTATGGCCTAACCCTAACCTGGTATACATACTACGTTCCGGTGTCCGCCATCTTGGTTCACATACCTCGGGAGTACCCTTTGTTCTGATATTGTAAATATTATGTCAGAAAATATATGTTTATTACTTACAAAATCGCTGCTTTTTCATTGTAATTTTTTATCCATTTTTATTTTCTGCTACATTCCTGCAAAGGATGGATGCTCCAAGTATTTACACTGCCTTTGTCTATAATTTGCTAAACTATTTTTGTTTTCATTTTTTGCGAATAAAAACATTCTTCTTTAAAAAATCTCTATTTAGTTTTACGTTACATAGAAAGGAAAAATAAACTGAATTAACTCCAATTCTATTCAAGATAGAATTACATCAAGTAGTAGGAACGAGGCTGGTCTGAAGGGATGGGAAGTATTTTTGGACACGCAGTATAGGCTACATTTGAATCGGTTTGTTATTACTTATCGATCCTAAGATCGGTAAGTATGTTGATGAGTATTTGTCTGTCTGTATGTCTGTTTGTTTGTCTGTTAGATGAACGCGATATCCCAAGAAGGCGAGGTTGAATCTGCTCTTAATTTTGCATGTGCATTCATCATATCTCGGACCAGAAGCCAATTGATTTTGGATGAAATATGTCGTATAATTAGCGAGTTAATAATTAATTAGTGATGGAACACGCGGTGTCACTATAGAGTCATGAATCGAAACCGCAGTTTCGATCGATAAGTCTTCGGTCTCACACCGATATTCTCGTTTTGTAGTTGTTAGAATTTCTCATGTTGTTGTTACAGTATGAAAAAATTGCTTCACTCATTAATTAACCACTGAATCAATTGCTTTAAAAAATTTTCAGTGACTAAATATTATATTTTCCGCTAAAAAACGTTTTCTTTCATTTATTTCGAAAATTGCTGTGAGCTCTGTGGGATTCGTTTTTTGGGGTGTGTAATATATGATGTAATCAAGATGTTTGTAGACCTTGTGTCCAGTGGCGGATTAAGCCCCTCTGGTGCACTAAGCACTGAAGACTTTGGTGCCCCCTCATGTGTAATTTAATTATAAAAACAATAAACCACATAAGTGTATTATCACAACCAACCAACACAATCACAACCAACAGTAAATAAAACAACTTTTACGAACATTTTTAGGTTTTTTAACTGTTATATCTAGCCGATGTATTTATCGGCCGTTTATTGCCGACATATATATCGGCCGTTCATTGCCGATATGATATATCGGCAAACACGCAATATCGGGCCGATATATCGGTTGAGCTCTAATCCTGAGGGAGTGTAACAATGAAGATTCATGCATGTAGTTTGAAATTTTACCGGTACCTAGTAGTCTACCTCAGGGTGGTTCAAGCTTGCTAGGTTGAAGGACCGCAAAAACTTTTGACGAGGTCTTGCGGGCAGCAAGTCGGCGAAAACCCAAAAGTGATCGAAATATCGCGAGTTTATCTACTTTAAATTTGATAAACAACGAGACCGTTCTAATCAGACTATTATTATGCTGCATGAGTGGCGTTCTTTCAGTCATCTTAAAGTTAATTCCCGATAATTACCGTTGTATTTTGCGCATCTCGCGTTTAATGTCGCTTCAAATTAAATTCTTTCGTGACAGATATTACTTGAAATCAAACCAGACACTGTGTGATGGGCAAGGAAATACTTTTCCGCCGTGTTTTCCTTATGTCACCTTTCTTGCGACACTCATTTTATTACAAATTGTTATATTGAGTAATTTGAAAACTTGCAGCGTGAGCAAGTTTAGTGCCATCGTCAAACACCAACCAAGTACTCTTTCTAAGTTGGTATTTCGGGACCTAGCTAAAAAAAACTGGATTGCGCGGCGTTGAGTCGGCTCTGCGTTTCGTCACTAATGTCAAATGGTCAACGCTTGAAAACAGAGGAGTGTCTTTACTAAAATAAAGGCAAAAAGCAATAGAAATAGGGTTTGAATCTTAGGATCCCAACCCCAGTTGGAATAGCTAAAAAAAACTCCGAAACGTTCCTCCATTGAATACAAATATACGCTAAAATTGTTCTGTGAACCGCACGGAATGTATCAGAATGACAGGGTTTGGACCACCCTGGTCTACCTTATCAAAAAACTCCCGACTTCTCTGACAACTAGATCATTGAAATGCGATCGTGGAACCGCCACATAGTGTAAATAGTTTATTGCTCCAATTGTTGATGAGAAAAGACTTTTTTTAAAACAAAAATGCAGCAAGGTTAATATGATACTTGAAGACGAAAAATATTGAAGTTTGAATTGTCTGGTGAACTCGTAATATTTTAATAAACACCGACAAACTATATATATAAAATTCTGCTCTTAAATTACTGTGGTGCCTCTCTTTGCTTGGTGCCCTAAGCACGTGCTTATCTTGTTTAATGGTTAATCCGGCGCTGCTTGTGACGGTTCCGCGTTCGCGTTAGTCATGAAGATTGCTGTACCGGTAGTCTACTGTGGCATATTTTATACCCGTACTACTTCGTTTCGGTCTTCCTGTCCATATACTTGAGTCACTACACCTCACGCACCTAATTATTGTAAAATGATTACTTGTGTAAAAGTCGTAAGCAATGAAGTGACGTGCTAGCCACTTGTCTCAGTGATGAGTAGGGCTGGGCATTTTCGAATATCTGATGATTTCAGAATCGAATCGAATTTTTTTTTTCGAATCGAATCTCGAATACTTGGGAGATAAATAATTGTATGCGATTTTTTCATTGTAATTGGTCATTTCAACATATGAATTACTGAAAACGTAAAATACATCACTCAGACAGATTGCTGAGCGTTCACACACAATAGGAAACACGTTTTATCAATAACTCACTACAGAAAATTGTCATATATATGTCATAATTGCATTGAAAAAATATGGCTCCAATAAAAAAAAATTAAGGAATTCACGTCGACCATTGGCGATAAGGAAATAAACAAGATGGCGGCGATTCGAAATATTGCTCTGAACTGATTCGAATAACTTACTATTCGATTCGAATATTTGATTCGAAATGCCCAGCCCTAGTGATGAGATGCGACAAAAAATACTAATTATGTAATTTGTGTGACCGGAGTCGCGAGTGACCTAGAGAGGTGGTCTTCAAGCGGCAACACCTACAACAACTACATAGGTTTAAAATGAATTATCGGTAGCCCATCTCTAGGACGATGGGTACTCCAGAAGTATGTGCACCAAGATGGCGGACACCGGAACTTTGTATATGTATCAGGTTAGGGTTAGGCCATAATTTTAAGTAGAAATACTAGGCCACTACGGAAGTAACTTGGATAGTCACCGAACTCGTAATCAATCAATCAATCAATCATTTATTCGTCGTCACAAAAACATCAAATGCACAAAAAATTGGTACAATAAATAAATATAATAATAATGATATTTGTGCGACAGGAGTCGCGAGAGACCATATTAGGTCTTCAAGCAGCGACACCTAAAGCGCTGTTACTGGTTCAGTGTAAAAAAAATAACTACATTTGCTACAAACATTGACTATGCAATAGTCGTTATGATGAACATATTTTGAATCATTGAAAAAATTCGCAGCAAACGCAACTTTACTAAAATCATATAATAGAGAAAATAAAAAAATAAAAACTCAAGTATAAATTTATAAAAAAGGCATATTTGGATAAATGTATATAAGTTACATAAAAGACAAACGACAAGCGAGGGAAGAATGGTTACACCAAAGACAAAATTGTAAGTGATTAATTGAATAGAAGTTGGTAAGCTCTAATAAATCATAAAACGTTGATATGTATATATATATATATATATATATATATACAATACGCTCCACAGTAAGTGGGCATAAAATTTACGAAAGAATGGTAGGCATATGCTTGCTTAATGAATTAAAATATAACGGATTTTGGCTTTTTAGTGTAGAGGTTGCACCAAGGTTGGTAAAGTACCGGGTACTTTAGAAATAGACTCCTTACACCTATAGTTCCTCCGGCTTTTTGGGCAGCCATGGCGACAGTCTACAAATGCGACTACTGGGCTATGGACAGAAGATGGCGAATCATACTGAATACTCCAATCAATGGCTGATGGAAGAGAGATAATAACTAATATATTAACTTTTTAGATATAATTTGAAACCGTAATAGCCTAAAGATTTAATGGTACTTGGCAGTATGTTCCCCAGCTTTTCTCTTTAGGGGGGGTGTTTCAAAATTTAGGGGGTGGTAAATAATTTGCTATTAGAGATAAAACTAGGCTATTTGTATTCTTAAAAAAATGGTATGTATTTAAGAAACGATGTATAGGGGGGGTCCCCAAGTTTATTGACGGCGAGCCAAAATCCACAGCAGAATGAAATTGTAGGGCCAGAAAAGGGGAGCGAGGAAACGTGCGGGACGACACGGCTGGGGTTCAGGGCGCGCTTAAGCGCCCTGAGAAAATTTTGAGAAATAGGCACAAAAATAGGCTCTAAGCTTGGTTTTAGATACACCTAGCATCGCAGTTTGTTATGTAATAGAATTCATAAGTATAATATTTAGCTGATAGAATTCCCGGGAATTAGAAAACAAGCACGGCTTCAACCGTAAATATATACTACTACGTTTCAACAAGTAATTTGCAACTGATAGTGACTAATGAAGTTACTTGCTCATCTGGCATTGTATGAATGGCTACTTATGGCTTGTTTTGTTACACATTTCTAATTTTTTTGAACATGTTTGTTTGACTTTTGTATGAATTAATTTTTGAAATACGCTCGTCAACTGATCATAATG